CTTCCTCTCTGGAATTAGAAGAGCTTCTGAGACAGTTTTTGGTTCAGCTAGAATAGACAGAGTAAAGAGATATGCACATCCAAAACAGGCCTGAGATTGTAACTTAGCAGGCTTTGAAAAGGTCTAGGTTTTTGACCTAGTAAGCATTGGATGTGTATTATGATGCTGATTAAAAGAAGGTTCCAGTTGATTAATGAAAATAGATGGTTCTTCTGATGGGGAGATAGTAGCAGAATCCAGGATTACTGATCCTGGAGTAGTCTGAACTACATCAGTAGCTTCATGCACATTTGTTTGAACTGCATCAATAGCTGTATCATCAGGTGAGCTTAAAAACAGTGATGAATTACCATGAACATCTACTGTAGAACTAAAAGGAGGAATAGGCTGAACTGCATCAGTAGTTGTATCATTAGATGAATTTAAAAATAGTGATGAATTACCATGACCATCTGCTGTAGAACTAAAAGGAGGAATAGGCTGAACTGCACCAGTAGCTCTAGCCAAATTTGTTTGAACTGCATCAGTAGCCGTGTCATATGGTGAGCTTAAAGGTATTGATGAATGATCAGGAACAGCTGCTGTATAATTAAAAGGAGTAGCAGTTTAGATTGTAGCAATAGTGTTAGACGATGCTACCATAGTAACAGAAGAAACACTGCTTTTGTTCAAGCAATGGTCAAGATTCCATGAGGACAAAAAGCTATCTCTATTAGTCTGAGAATTAAACCCTCCTGCAGTTTCATCCTTAATGAGGTAACATTTGAAACCAAGCTTAAATGGAAAAACAATGTCATCAAACTTTGCTTGTTTCACTAAGTAAACGTTTCCTGTGGAGGAAAGGCACTTATACCCTTTATGTGCAAGACTATAACCTATAAAGACACACTTTTCAGTGTGATAGGAGAATTCCTGCTTCTAGTATGGTCTGATGTAAGGGTAACATGAACAACCAAATACCTTTAGCTCATTGTACTTTGGTTCTTGTTGAAACAATTGTTGGTAAGGAGAGATATCCTAAAGAACAGATGAAGGGAGTTTGTTAACAATGTATACGACTGTACAGAAGGCTTGCCACCAGAAACACAAAGGCATACTAGCATGTGCTAGTAGTGTCAATCCAAATTCGGTGATTGTTATATGCCGCCTTTCAACTCTACCATTCTACTGGTGTAGATAAGGACATGGATGTCTAAAACCAATGCCATGCTCTTTTAAATATTCAGTAAAAGACCTGAATTCACCTCCCCAGTCAGTTTGTAGAGTCTTGAGTTTAGCATCCAGTTGATTCTCAACAAACTTATGGAAATGCATAAAAACTTTGAATGCCTTAGATTTAAGCTTAAGTGGATATATCCACATGTATCTACTATAGTCATCCACAAATAATATAAAATATTTAAAACCTTCGGAAGAGAAAATTGGAGCAGGTCCCCATAAATCTAAATACACCAACTCAAGAGGTCTTGTGGATTTGGATGCAGAAATGGGAAAAGAAGTTTGTGACATTTTGCCGAATTGACATGCTGCACAAAACATTTTATTATCAAAACAACCATGCACATGAATTTTATTCATAATATCCTTGAGAGTTTTAACTTGTGGATGCCCCAACCGAGCATGCCATAATTCTGTCAACAGTACATCAGACTTGCTTATTAGAGATACACTCTCTTTATTTGAGTTACTAACAGTTGGTGTAAAACTGAAAAAATCAGGAACATGACATGTCTTATCATCACTACTACTAATACTAGTACTTGTATTGGTGACAATAGCAACATGACAGAAAGCTTTACAACCAGAAGCACCTCCAATAGAAGAGGCCACAGATGAGCAAGAACCTTTCAGCTGATACAGACCATCCTTCAAGAAGCCTTACAACAGTACCTCTTGAGTGCACTTATCCTTTACAAGACAATTGTCAGAGTGAAATTCAACAATAACTCCATTGTCTTTAGTAATTTGTGATATATTTAATAAATTTTTTGCTATATGTGGTACACACAACACATTCTTGAGATGCAAGATCCTAGGAGAATTTTGTGAGTTGAGAAAAGACACACCTGTTTGGGAGACTGGAATTGTTTGTCCATTGTCCACTTGAACTGTGGAGCCACCTTGATAACCAGGTTACTCATATCTGCTGTCATGTGGTTAGTTGCTCCAGAGTCAACATACCAGGTCTAATCCATAACTGTATGAGGATTGGCAATTGGTGTGCTGTGAGAATTATGTGTAGAGGGCAGATAAGATTGACTTCCTTCAAGTAAAGCAGTAACACTAGAGAATCCAACTATGGGTGAAAACACGTAAGAGGTCAGATTTTGTTAAGGGTAATTGTTATTCTGCTGATAAATTCCAGAAAGTCCAGAACCATTGTAAGAAGTAGAGGCTGACTTGTTGTACAACTGATCTGCCATGGTCTTTGTCATCATAAGTGCTTGTGCTGAGTTGTTTGACTGAGGAATTTGAGCTGGGCCTTGTGAGGCATTAAAGTGGGAAGATCCTTGAGAACTAGATTCAACATTATAACCAAGAAAATTAGTAGGTGAACTAACTCCAGCAACTCCAAAACTTTGGTAAGTATGATCAATTCTGTGGTAACACTACAAGGCAGAATGTCCACCTTTACCATAGACTTGACAGATCAGTTTGGGTCTAAAATAACCCCTTCCTCGTCCCCTACTTCGCACTAGTTGTGAGTTGTAAACCTGGTACTAGTTAAAAGGATTAAAGCCTTCACTCGTCGCTGGAAATAGAGAGAGTGATTGTTGATGTGGCAGACCAAAGCCTGATCTGGAAAAGCCTTGACTCATATTGTTTCCAGTAAACTGACCAGTATTAGGACTAAATTGTGAGAGAGATATGGTTGATGTTGGGAGTGTATTTGAGGCTAAGATTTTTGGGTTAAGATAGAATTGAAATGATGAGGACCTGAAAAGGAGTCAATTTGACTCTGCTGTTTTGACACCAGAAGAGCTTCATGAAAGTTAGAGAACGCATTATGTTGTCTTTCAAGCCTAATTTCATGTTTATGCAATAAAAACTGAGCCTCTTGCAGTGTCGTTTGACTACTGGTTGATACCAAATTGGCCACTACTACGTCATATTACGGTCCTAAGCCATCCAATATATAGAGTAAAAGCTCCTCATCAGTTATATACACACCGCTAGCTATCAGTTCATCTCCCAACTCCTTCATTTTCAACACATATTCACTAACACTACAATTTTCTTTCTTAGTGCATTGCAATAAATTTCTAAGATGCAGAGTCCTAGCTCTAGAAACAGATTGAAAATGAAGCTCTAAAGTATTCCAAATCTCATAAGCAGTGTTACATTTGGCAACATGACGAAACATTGATTCTGAAAGTGTAGAATAGAACCAACTCACCAGGAATTGATCTATCTTTTTCCAAGAGAAGTAGTTAGGGTTTGACTTCTTGATAGTTTGCCCAGACTCGTCGGCTTTATCGAACACAAATGGAGGAGGCCAGGTTCTTTCTCCAGTAACGAAATCATCGATTCCATGGGAGACCAGAGCTGGTAGGATCTTCGAACGCCAAAATGAATAGTTTTTCTCTAGCAATTTCACTGAAATCGTTGGTAAAGAGGGTGTAGTGTTTGAGGTAGTAAAGTTGGTGTTAACAGTATCCATATCGTTTGATTGTGAATTCAAACTTGAAGATTTAAAGCTAAGATTAACCATAGATGCTTGTCTAGGGCTCTGATACCATGTAGAAATTCAGTATTGAGATGAAGAATCAAGAAAATTAAAGAAATCAAGAAGAACGAAATACAGAGCTAAGAAGACAAATGAACACTCTAGAATTCATCAATTTTTATTAACAAGTCTTTAACAGAAAACAAACATATTTATAGTTTGTTACACTGTATAAAACGACAGTGTATTACATTTTGCTTAATTGAAATTAAAGCCATCTAACTTCTAATCTTTGCAAATAACCCAGCATACTTTGACATTCTTCTTAACACGGAGTAAGACCACATGATATATTAAAAAGTGAAACTTAAAAAAGTCAATGCAATTAATTTGCTAACTACCTTGAGGTTGCAAGAAGGAAATTGGTAATTACCTTGTAAATTTCATCATATCCACCCTTCCCAAGATTATTGGTATATAGCTGTTTCAATGTGAACAATGCTATTAAACACAATACAGAAGTCAAATAAAATCAATATATAGCACTTGATTGATTATGTGAATTAATTAATTAGCTAGACTAATGTTAAATTAAAAAAAAAAAATGTTTCAAGGAAAGTGACTTTCTAACAACACTAACTTACATGGCAATATTCATTACTATAATTTTCAATAGAGTTTATTTTGCTATCAACATTTCGTATTTAACGAAATTCAATTAATTAAACTAAACTACTAGAGCATTAGCTGGACAAAATAAAAAAAATAAAAAAAATAAACCTACGGCTGCAGCTAGAAGCAGTGGTGCTAGAGTTCGACCACTCTCCAGGGGAGAGCACATTATTATGCCAAAATCCTATGTCAGTTCATCATCTAGCTACCACTTCTGAAATTTTATCATCAATAATTGAAGTGCCCCTTGGACAAATTTCCAACTTCGTTGTGGCCATTTCGTTGGTTGCCATCATCTTGTTTCCAACAACCAGGTTTGCTTGGAATAATGATATCTTTGGTTCATTTTTTAGCATTGTGATAACCTTCAACTCCTAGCTACCAACTTAAGCTATTTTCAAGTTTCATGTGAAAGACCAATAGGACTTCAATATCAGGGTTGAATAAGTCACTTCTTACTAACTTGAGCTTTTTGGTTATGTCAAGAGATAACTTAACATATACTATTATATGTATATAATAAACAATAATATTACCCATCCCAAAAATTATCCAAAGTAATGTGTAATTCTATATAGCATTGAGATATAAATGAAGTGGCTGATTTAGTGAATGGTAGAACAATAATACCAAATAAATGACACATCATTTATGATGGAAATTTTGGGATGTATAGCATTATTCTATAATAAAAGTGGAGTATTGCCTTAGGCCCAAGGGGCTTTATAAATAATTGCATCTTGTAAAGTCTATATTAATTCATCTAGCTACAATATCTGAGACCGTTATATCATTAATTGAGCTGCTCTCTCTATCAGTTTCTGCCTTTTGTTTATTTTCGCTTTGTTCATTTCTGTCTTTTTGTTTCCAAGAAGCAGGCTTGTTTGGAATCTTGATATCTTTCGACTCATTTTTTAGCATCATGAAAACCTCCAGCATGGACGGTCTATCATTTGGGTTTTCCTGGACACATAACAAAGCTATTTGCAAGCATCTCATGAATTTACAAGAGGAACTTGTATCATCTAGTGATGGATCCATAAACTCCATGCCTTTGCCATCTTTCCACAACTCATATGCCTGAAGACAATCAAATAAAAATTATCTCATTTTTCTAAACACACCAGATAAGTTACAAACAAAATTCTCTAATACTAATATCCTAAAGTTTTTAACATGCAAATCAAAGGTAAGTGTTTGGTCACTAACTTCAATTTTTTCATTTTGTAAAGTCAATGACTAGACACTGACCTTTAGTCCGCAAATTAAAAACTTCAAGACGTTTGCATTAGAGATTGACCAAGGATAAAAAATACTAAGGGTTAAAGGAGAACTTACATAATCTAGGAAGTTTAAGCTCTCATTAACTCTTTTCCCACTAATGATTTCAAGAAATAAGACACCAAAACTATAAACATCAGATTTTGTAGAGTATATGCCCCTTCTCAAGTACTCAGGAGGAAAATAGCCCCTGTGTTAGATATTAAAGCAATTACTAAACCATATATAAATTGGTTATATGTGTAACAATACGGAAAGGAACTATACTTACCGTGTTCCAACAATTACTTCTGTGTTTGCTTCAACGTTATCTTTTAAAAAAATTCTAGCCATACCGAAATCTGATATTTTAGGCTTCATATCTCCATCCAACAAAATATTACTAGCTTTCAGATCTCGATGAATAACAGTGAATCTTGAGAATTCTTGGAGATATAGAAGCCCTTGAGTAACCCCTTCAATAATTTGCACACGCTTTTTCCAATCCAAAATGCAATGTCTATTGGGGTCTGCATCAAATATATTTATGATTTGCTAATCAACACTATCTATATTCAACAACTGGAGTACCAATTATATAGGAGGAAATATTAAATGAATCCAAAAACTTTGCACAGAAAAAATTCATACCAAACAGGAAATAGTCTAAACTTTTGTTTTTCATGTATTCATAGACAAGCATCTGTTCTTCCCTGTCAATGCAATAACCCAAAACTCTTACAAGATTTACATGTTGGAGCTTTGCTGTAAACATAACCTCATTCTTGAATTCCTCAAATCCTTGTGTGGATGTTTTTGATAGTTTCTTCACTGCGATTTCCTGTCCATCTGGTAGTATGCCCTAGAAATTAATACAGTTATAGTTGGTATCTTTTCAGTAGATTAGCCAATATAACAAAAAACGAAAGTAGTTTAATTGTGAAAATCAAAATTATAAATATATAGCCTACATGAATGCTACCTTGTAAACAGGACCATATCCACCCTGCCCAAGCTTATTTCCAACTGAAAATCTATTCGTAGCTGCCTCAATGACATTCAATGTGTACTCCACCAAATTAGGAACACTGTTGCTAAAATCCATTGCTGCTTTATTTATTGTATACTTGGATCGTTTCACCCAATCCGGCATCTCTACCAATGAACAAAAATAGAATATATATATATATATATATGAGATAAGAAACTTGAGTTTTGATTAAAATACATATTACCGTTTTAATATAGAATTTAATATAGCTTTTTATTTTTTTAAATGAGGAATTAACAGAAAAAGATCTAAGAAAACACATTTGGTTAAAATGATTTCAAATACAATCCTTAAACATGATGTAAAATTAAAAAGTAATTTTTTTTTTCTAGTTTCTTTAGCTTTTAACTTCAAAATTAGTATATATAAATATTATATCAAACTAATTTTCATATGCTCAAAATATTATGATAATTTAGAGTTGGAAATTTGTAGATCATAAACAGATTGGAATTTAGATCCACACACAATAATATATCTTGAAAAATTTACCTCTTGATTTAAGCTTTCTCCTCCGCCGATAATATATCACAAATATTCCTAGCAGAAGAATAACAGCTGCTGTTGCAGTCAAAAGAATGGGTAACAAAGGCCTTTTACTATCCTCTTGATCGGAAGAATTGTTACTATCCGCCTCAGCTGAAAAACTAATTATCATATTAACTATAAATGGCACAAAGATCTTAATTAAAATTAATACTATCGAGTGAAATAATCAAGATTATTACCTGCTGCTTGAGAAAGCACCCAATTATCATCATACCCCACTCGCCACAGGTAGTAACCAAGTAGCTTCTTCTCCTTGGCATAAGAAACCTTAGCTTTGATAGCCTGAACATCATCAAAGCCAATCCAAGATGATTCGATTGTGCAGTAATTCACCACATAAATTGGGTTATATTTGACATCAATTTTACGACCAGATCCTTTAATGTGATTCTTGATATCCTTATAGCTCAGAAATCCACTTTTTTTAATCCCCGGTCCTGTTGCCGGTGCACCGATGCTATTGTCTTCAGGGTTCACAAGCTTCCATGCATAGCCGTATAAAGGCAAACCCAAAACCAACTTATTGGCAGATAATCCTCCATCCATCCACTCCCTTACACCCTGATCCGTATAAACATCACTACTCGGGTCATAAAGAGCTGCGTGAGCACCCGTAACGTTCTCTAACTGAGGCTTGTGGTAGCCAGCAGCTCCGAGATTAACCCAGTTTAAGTATTGTTGTATTGCCTCTAGAGGGTAACTTCTTGCAGACATGAATGGTGAATATGCAACCCTTGCTGTCAAGATTAGTTCTGGCTGGCTAGAGTTTCTTACCTCTAAAGCGACGGCGGATTTCCACTCTTGAAGGAGAATACCCATGTTGGACATATCAGAGTTATCGTTCGGAAATTGCCACGCTAGGTCGAGACCTTGAAAACCGTAAAGCCTGGCTATTTCTATGGAGGAGTCAATGAAAGATTTTCTGTAAGAAGGACTGCTTGCCATAGAAGAAAAGATTGAAGCATTTACTTCTGAACCTCCAAGGGATAAGAGTGTAGTGACCGACGGGTGCTTTTGTTTCACAGTTTCTGTCAAGTTGGAGAAGAGTTTTTCTTCATCAGACGATAAAGAAAGTTCGTAGGAGGTGGAATTAATACGGGCAAAAGCACAAATAATGTGAGTGAAGAGGGAAAAATTTATGTCCGCAACAGGAAACTCATATCTTGAACACCAGTAATAACCAATCCTGACGTTATTAGTTTGCGCCATTGAAGGGCATACTTGAAAGGAGACAAAAATATGGAACAAAACAATGATAATATTGAACACCATTGGGAAAGCTAGAGGCTTAAAATTCCAGCACTCTATCTGTATTTATCTCTTGAATTTATATTCATATATCAATGGGATGAAGATTGAAGATGATAAATGTATTTATATATCAATGTATTTATCAGCATATTAAAACAGAAAACGAATTATTAAAAAACGAATGAAAGAGCTTAATTTCTCTACAAGTTATTGAGTAGGTGGAGAAAGAATTCTAAACTACATCCTTAATCTTCTACTTTATCTTATAAATAAAAAAATAATAATAATAAAAAAAAAGAAACCGGTGGCATGATTAAATAGGACGAGCTATTTTTTACTTTTATTTTTGCTGACAAATTGGTATCTGCTGATCTAAATTGATCCGATATGGAAGCAAAAATCTATTAATTTAATAATATGTTCAAAAGACGGTGTCTACACCTAGCTGTCCAAAAATTTAATAACTCACCAGTCAATGACGTATACAAAAATTTAGAATAAATGTTGAAATATATAAAAGTTGGGAAAATTAGTCAAAATTATGCGGATCCATTGTACCGGAGATTTACTCTTATCTTAGAATGATTGATGGAAATATATATGAAAATAATGAAATAAATAATAACAAACTTATTAATCACTTTATTCACCTTTATTAAAATTATATATGGTATCCGTACTATACTTATGATATTCTTACTATACTTTATATTTACAAAAGTGAGCAAAGTGATTAGTAAGTTCGTGAGTAAAGATAACATTATTGATATATATACATATTTATATATGCATATTTCCCTTTCTTTTTTTACCCCACGTAACAACTATGTATTGGTGATTTATAAAATAAATATTTTATGATGTGAAATTTAGTTTGATTACATCGACATAAGAATTGATCAAGTAAACATTGTCATATAATAATGATTGTCTACCTTATTATAAACCATTGCTAGGTTTCAACTCTCTAATTATAAACTATTGCTAAGTGTCCACTCGTGGTGAATGATAATCAGTTTTAAATATTAATTCATGGAGAGAAGGAAACGGTGGCGTAATCCCAAAGCTTTGACAAGCTTGAAATGAAGCTTCCAAGAACCAACGTTATTCTGAATTCTTTACATCCATGTGTTGCTGAAAGTTTATTGCTCTTTTATCCTCTCCATTTGGTAATATGCCCTGGAATATACCACTTTAATTTCCATTTTCACCTGAGTAAGAATCAGGGAACAGAAGCAACTCTGAATCGATCATGTTTTAATACTACCATCTGGTGAAATTTTTTTATGTCACCTTAGAATTTTCTTTCTCACAAAATTATTAGGAAATAATCGAATTCAAGTTGTAGCCATGAGTGGAACAGATGGTCCAACCAGAGGAATAGAAGTGATTGACACGCGAGCTCCTTATGCCTTTTTGGAGAGAGATACTATTTCACCATTAACTTTGAGAAAGAATTTAGGATACCACGGTGATATTATATCATCCATACCATCAACTAGTGAATTTGTGACACATAAAAATAACTACCTGACATACATGCATTACCTTATGGAACCACGTCAACAATAATACCATGAGAAAATCTAAACTACAACGGAGGCACTAACTCAGAAATCTAGGTTGGTACCTCTAACCACTCATAATTGGAGACATGTGAGATTTAATTAAATAACAATTAATAAAATAGAAGATCCAGTTAAAATAAATCATGAAATAGAGGACTAAATTGAAATAAACCAATTTTAGATGGCTATAGGTTTTCCTTTGTTTTCCAACTGACAAAATCTGAGAAACAGCCGCCGTCCAGTAGCACACGCCTTGGCTGCACAGTCAGTGTACCGTGATGGTAGGAAATGGTGAAACTGCTATTTTTATACTAATAACTGTCTCTGATCCAAGCTTGTGCTCTCGCAGGTTGTAATATTGCTGAAGAGAGGAAAATACCGAAGACAACACTTGATAATAATTTTGGATGCCATTAATGGAAAGGTACCTCTACAAGAAATTTAACATTTAGGGACGAACATTTTTGTCACAGAAAGTGGAATATTCATCCTCAAATATAATGCGGGACGACAGACCAAATCGTCCCAAAAACCGCGTTGCCAAAGGGTAATGCCCACAGAAAAACGAATCGTCTGGAAAGCTACATGATTGGGGATGAAATACAGTTTCGTCACTAAATATTACTTATTTTATGACGAAATTGTTCGTCCACAAAAGAATAACTATTTGTCCCAAATAATGTCATTTCGTCCCCAAAAAAAGCACAATTGGGGACGAAATTCTTTCGTCCCTAATTGTGTAGATAATTTGGGACAATTTTTTTCGTCATTGCCTGTGTAACAAATTAGGGGCGAAAATTTTCGCCCCAAATGGTGTGGTGAATTGGGCACGTAGATTTTCGTCCCTAAGGGAATGGTGAATTAGGGACGAAAATTTTCGTCCCTCGTGCTATAGTGAATTGGGGATGAAGAATTTTGTCCCTGATGGTTGCCGAATTAGGGACAAAAATTTTCATCCCTGTCAATATTTAGAGACGGAAAATTCTGTCCTTTCTTTTATGATGAATTACGACAAGAATTTGTTCCTAATTGAAAATTAACAAATATATTGATTCCCAAAGTCAAAAAATTTATATGAAACATCTTTTTAACTAAGTGAAAAATGTTACTTAATATCAAATTGATACTACTACAAATCAACAAATAACCAAGTAATAACAAATATTATATATATAAGCCAATAGTATCATAAACACATCCAACTGTAACTAACATATAAACAAAAAGTATAGAATGTATTAACTAATAGTATAAAATAACTACACTTTTTTTGTTAGTTGGATGTCAAAATATATACTATTTTCTTCACTACTTGGATGTGAAAAAAGGTACCACTCCTATAGTAGCTGCATTTCAAAAGAAGTAAAAAAGTGAATTGCTGAAGCTGCTGGACGTCTAGGTATACGTAACCCAAACAAGTCTGCAACAATCATTATTAACGGTTACTCAACTATATATTTGTCTAAAGTTTGTAAGATAAAGTTAACATAAAACATTAGCGAGACATATTGCTAATGATTTTTACCTTCAAGGAGCAGGTGGATGATTTCCAGCGACAAGCCACATCTCAAACATCTTTTCTTGTCATTCTAAGCATAAGGTTAGTTCATCTACTTTCTCTTGATACTTGAGATTTATTTCCTCTGATTCTCTAAATCTATTTTTAGATTCTTTAAGAGCATTTGCAAGTCTCTTAATTTGAAGACTTGGTCCTGCTTTTTTCTAAGGCTTTGGACCATACCTAAGTCCCTTAATATATCCTGATCAAGTTCCAAGCACTTGATCACAAATTTCATCTGCAGTTAATGGTTTGTCATCTGATGAACTTTTTTCCTTCAATTCTATCATTTCATTCTGCATTTTAGGACATTCAATATAAACATCAAATTAAGTTAAACAATGCCAATCATCGTAAGTAAACACAACGTTGTTACATACAATCAATTGAATACTAATTAATTTCACTTACATATTTTGCCTCGACTTCTGGGTGTGGAACTTTTAGAGAGAGCTCAAACAAACAGAAATAGAAACGGAGATGAGAGAAACAAGAGCAACGAAAACTTTATTTTGTTCCAGTTTTTGATTAATAACAGAATCTGTTACAAGCCAGCTTATATAGTGAGCTGCTGAACTGAAGAAACAGAATTAGTTACAGTGAGGTTACAGAGAAAGAACAGATTTCTATTTAGCAACAGAGAAGACAACACTTATTTTAGTAAAGACTGGAGCTGAGACGACTGCGTTTTTGGTTCTTCATAGATTGTTCTTTAGTTGAAACGGCAACGTTTCTATGCAGTCTTTTATATTTAAGACGGCATCGTTTCACAAACCAACAGCCTCCCTTAAGCTAGACAGCAGTCTCCTCTTCTCAGACCAACACTAGGGGCATCCAACCTTTTCCTTCTTTGAAATGAGTGAATTTAAAAAAGCTAATTCGATCACATTCCTCCCCATTAAGTTCATTCTTCTCCTAATTTCATGTGCATCCAAATTGGTAACAATACAATTTCAAATTCCAAATAACTGAATATATATATGACTAATCAGATTTGATTTATATGTATGTTTGTACTAAACTAACGAAAAGAATCCAAGATAAAAATGAAGGCTATTCAGAGTACTTACAATCTAATTGCGGACCACCACGAAAGCCATAGATCCTTGGTTATGTGGCATAGTATTCTTTGTTTGATTCTCAGCATTTTTTTCACATTTTGCCTACATTAGACAAAACCGGTAAAATAGTGAATCTCGTAAATTCCTTGTATTGATTATTGGTCTAATAATCAATATTTGCAACTATAAGATTTTTTCACAACTATAAGATTTTATACCTTCACATTAGGATCAGACCAATATTTGCAAAGTAAATTCCAATTATCTTGAGTCAAACCATTTTCTTTTGGCTTGTTTCTTAGTGCCTCCTCAAGTGTTGTAAATTTCTTAAAATGTTTGTGCAACTTATACCGCGCATTCCTAGATCGATTCTTCACAATTGCTCAATCTTCTCTTGTTTGCTTCATCACCTATGTCTTCAATTTCCATGGGGAGCTAAACAAATAACAAGTTACACTTTATTACTATAGGCAATTGTCATTGTTGAAAGAAAGAAAACAGTATGCATGTTGCTTTTTGAAGAATAAGAACATATGAAACCTATGTATATATGTAATACCCATTAGGTGACTCTAATGATCAAATAAATCAAATATGTATCTATGTCTCTATTAATGAATAGTACATCTAATAAAGAATGATCAATAACCTAATTTGTGTCTATGCTCAATCATATCAAATAAAGAAAATAGAATTATTGTTTCCAATAAAAACAATAAATAATGAATACACTTACATCTAAGTCCAGTGCAAGATTGAAATCATGAACCTCCATATCCTTCCATTCGATTGGTACACGTATACACTCCCGAGAAATTACTCCTAGTTGACTGGACACTTAGCCGATTTAACTTATTTACTGGCCTCCCTTATCCAAATCAACATGCACTTTCAACTTCTTACCAAAGGATTTGTTCATTTACTTAGCCTTTCCCTCGTGTGCGACCTCTTTCACTTTGGTTGAGGTGGAATCTATTGTGACAAAAATGAAATTTATCATATAGTAAAAGACTTATACTATGTAATGAAAACATATAGAAGACCAAAATTTAAGCAATTTAATGAAGCCCAAACCTGTAGCGAGAAGAGTGACATCCTCGAATGAGATAATGTGATAGAAGGGGCAATGGGAGGAGAAGGCTGAAATTGTTCATCTTGCGAAGAGAAATCCGGAGGAACTCTTCAACTAAATTAGTGAAACAGTTGTACCACTTTTTGATGCATGAGAAGGATTAGTTGCAGATTTCCCCTTAGCCTTAGAGCGGCGGCGTAAAATTGAAACCATCTTCTACAATAAGTATCTACCACAACAAGTATGGAAAATAAAGATTAAAACTCCCAGAGAAAGCATTACTAACTCGTGCCAAAGTCGAGAGACAAATACTGCATATCCTCTTCAGTTAAGGTTGTAAAATGTCAATGCCTTGCATTGATTATAATCTTAAATTGATAGCTGTAGATTAAAATGTTTATTTCTTTATAGGTTACTGAAGCATCTGTTCAAGCTCTAAGAAACCTAGCCGAGGTTTTGGAGCACTGTTGGTAACCCAAAGAGAAGTTTGATACTGAAAAAAAGGTGAGTTTAATGTGCTCATTATTTTTGCTTGCTCTGCATTATTACTTTCAGAAAAAAACTTAAAAGGCATCTTATCTATGTCCCACTATCACAAAAATGAAATAGAAGAATTGATAGGTCACTTCACATGAGAATGAAGACATAGATAAGATGCCCTTTGAAAGTTATTGATAACTTGAATTTATGAAGACGGTGTCTTCATAATTCAGCTGTCAATATACTTTCGAAAGGGCATCTTATCTAGGTCCCACTATCAGCAAAAATGAAAATCGGAATCAGCAAGCAACAATAACACCATTTTACCTTTTCAGATTTTCCAAGTCATGAATAATAATACCTGGAAAAAGAAAAAAGAAACAAGAGATTTTCTCTTTCTTTTAAGTTACTATTTCACTTTTTTAAAAGCATGTGTTATTCTTCTATCTTCCATCTGGATAACCATAACCTTCACTCCAAGTCTAATGGCCTATATTGTTCACTGCTGTGTATCGCTTTCTTTTATTGAATATAATTTTGTTTCATTGTCTGTGGCATGCTAGATAGCTCTCCATAACCCCAATTTGGTGCATATTATAGGTTGAAATGTGTGCAGATTTTTTTGCCAACTCGACTGACAATAAACATGTGAAAAGATGATGGTTTTGTCTTCAGAGGGCTGCTGCCGTTTCAATTGAAACGACAACAGTTGATCAGTTTTGTTTCTTTTTGTATTGTACAGAAGGTAAGAAAGTGGCATATTCCTGAAGCAAAATCTAAAGGACAAAATGGATACAAGAACTTGATCTAGATCATGTCCCACTTCTTAAAGCACTTACTGACAAAAATCTATTAACTTTCTATCTTTTTGACCAAAAAAATTAAAGACGCTGGTGAGTTGCTTCTCTCAATTTGCTGCCACAACAATTGCCCGACCTCTAACTGTTTTCTTTTTCCTCTTTCTAATTTGTTATTTCTTTGTACTTCTTGTTTGCTTCATTATAGCTGTACTTGGAAACAACTATACTCCTACTATTACTCTCTAATTCCCATTAAACTCTTTTACCCACCTACTCTTCTCTACTCACTCAACAATCTTATACCTCTCTAATATAACTATACGCTTTCTCTTAATTCATTTACAAGTCTCAGCCCCTGTTGGCTCATGTAAATAAATTCGTAAAACCCACATCACAGCACTGCACCAAATAATTGCAACAAAAAGTGCTCATTTAGAAGCATATAATACCCTAATAAAGATTTGAAACTCGAATCAACAATTTGAACTAACAAAGCCCTAATTTTGATAAACCATTTACTAATCAAGTAGATTATAAACATTCTAAACTTTAAATAAACCCCATGATTTAACGAGAAGGAAAATTAAGGCTGAAAATTCACAAATATCAAGACAAAAGTAGATGTAAATGCTTTAAATAAGACAAAAGTTGAGGCCCCATTCAAGACAAATCAAAAAGAAATATGACGGAAGAATGATGATAGTTAGAAGGCACCTTGTGATTTGAGGAAAGCAGAAGAATCAGATATGCTTGACAACAAGTGATAAACATGTGTGCGTCTGGAAAATGAAAAAGTGAAGGACAACAAAGAAACGTTGGAGAAGGCAGCTAATGTTTTCTTTTTCTACAATTCTTTCCTTCTTTTAATTAATAAAATTATTTAATTTTTACGTTTATTCAGATATTTATTTCAAATTTTTTTTTTTTTTTTGGTTAAAAATGGTCTTATTAATAAGATTATGATTGTCTTCTTTAATTAGTGATTTGTTGATACGGTAGTGTAAATTGTGCATTTTAAATTATTTTGATAATATAGAAATAAGGATAAATAAACTACTCTTTTTCACTATAAGTTCATTTTTCACTATAATTAATATAAGCTACTTCTTATTATTATTATTTTTTCTTTTGATAATTGAGTGTGTCTGGACCAACTTATGCACACTTCGACTAATTCTTTGGGGTCATAAAGTTAACGATCGCATAAACCTTTATGTGACCACACCTATTAGCAATTGAGGGGAATTGAACTTATGACCTCTTGAGTAATACACGTAAGAGTCTCTATCATCCCACTCGATCACCTAGGGGTGGTTTAACCATTTCCAACAATTAATAGATAATGAGTTATAAAAATATGAAGTGTTACTTATCAAAATTATATTCATAACATTTTCACAAGAAATGCTACCATAAATACGTATTAGTAACATATTTTAAAAAATTGTTACTGTTTAGTGTTACTGTATGTCATTTTTTTATAGTGGGTGAAGTAAAGAGCAAAATGAAGAGAAATAGGAAAATGATGGCCCGTTAGAGCATGTTAGGATCCTCAAAGGTACCCACCACGCCTTCCTACCATTTTTAGCCGATCCTCATTCACCATTTGCACTTAATTTTCAGTTTTTTGTCTTGGGTTTCAATCAATTTCAGAGCAGGAGATCGAGATTCACCGGCAAGCAAGTTTGAGTTTTGTTTCAAATGAAATAGAAAAGGAATTGGGTGTTTTTATATTTACTTAGTAGGGATGTTAAAAAAAATGCAGAAATTGAACCGAACCAGTAATCGAACTGAATTTTCAGTTATCCAAAAAATCAGTTCGATTTCAATTTAAAGAAAATAAAAAAACTAAATTTTTGGTTCGGTTACTAGTTTGGGAGAATATGTTGAACACCCATACTAAGTTTCCAAATTTTGACCAAATGAAATTGTTAATTACTTTTCCAAATTTTGTCCCTAAAAATGCATTTTTCACGATTAGGGATGAAATCATATTCTGTCTCTAATAAGTTTCCAAATTTTGTACAATTAGCGGCAAAAAAATTCATCTCAGAAAAAATAGGTTTTTAGCTACAAAATTTTTTGTCCAGAAATAATAAATTTCGTCCTAGAATGATTTATCTCTATATTATTTTCATCTTTCCCTCCAAATGGCATGGTTGGCGGCGGAGGGAAAATTGAACCCTAAGAATTTTGTGATAAAATTAAAATTTCATCTCCTAAAATGACAACTCTGGGATAACCAAACGTTCCAATTTCGTCCCCAAAAATTTCGCAATCTATGACAAAATCACATTTCGTCCCTAATAAGTTTTCCAAATTTTGTACCATTAGAGACAAAAACATTTCCTCCCAGAAAAAAATGGTTTTAGCTACAAACTATTTTGTCCAAAAATAATAAATTTTGTTCCTGAAAATGTATTTTTACAATAAAGGACAAATTATATTTCGTCCCTAATAAGTTTCCCAAATTGTATACAATTAAAGACTAAAAATTTCGTCCCAGAACAATTAGGTGTTTAGCTACAACATGTTTCGTTCAGAAATAATAAATTACGTCCCAAAATGATTTCCCTCCATATTATTTTGATCCTTCCCTTCAAATGGCATCGTTGGCGCGGGAGGAGATTGAGTTCTAAACATTTTGTGACGAAATTATAATTTCGTCCCTTAAGATAACCATTTTGGGACAAAACGGACTTTATCCCTAAATGTTAAATTTCTTGTAGTGAATATTTATTTTAAGCTAAACTTTTTTAAAGATGATATGTTTTGTTAAAGTCTTTTGATATGAACCTAAAAAGATTGAAAAAATATTATTGTTACATCAAGAAAATTAATATATATTTTAGATTTAAATTACAAAACCGTTTTTCTTTACAGGTAAGAAAATGTTTTATTGAAAATTTATATTTTCCTTACAATGCGAAGAAAAATGTTTTCTAATTATAGTTTTGAAATAAGATTTAAAAAAATGAATCTTTTGGCTCATGATCTGTAGATTCTAAACTCTGAATTCTTATATGATTATCTGGTCCAGTTGGATTTATCCTATTATATTGTGCACATCTTATATGAAATTTTGGCTGGTTCATCGGGTTACAAATGACATGATTTGTCTGATACATTCTGACCCGGCCACCGAGATAATAGGTGACAATACGTGACATGATTATATAAATGATACACTCAATTTGTGTATGTTTTGAAGTAAAAATGAAACTATATGAACTGCAATTTTTGTTTTAATATTAAATTTCTGTTAACATTTTTATTACGACTCGTATTAAATGTTATACAAATTTATATCAAGATTGGTTTTTACTTACTAAGTTGACGGGTCACCCATCTCTGTATATAGAGAATTCAGTTCACAAGAGCTAAGCAACATAACTTTTCACACCTTCAAGTGTATCATCATCTTNGGCATGTGTTCTAGTAGGACGGATAAATTCTTATACGTGCAAGTAAAACTGTAGAAGAAGTGGAAGTAGCACGACAAATTATGTTAGAAGATAATAGAAGAAAGATTAAAATTGACTTAATGAAACTTATTTATAGTTATGATTTAATTTATCCTTCATGTGATTGTTGTTAAAAAATATACATAAATCTCGTTCATTATCAACCTCTAATATTAACAGACAAGAATTTAAAGATAAATTTACAAATAAAAAATTACAAATATTGGTTGTATAACGTGCATTGAGGCTCTATGATCATATTTTATAAAAAAATACGGATATCAATACCTGATGATGCTTGCTTTTGATATTAGCTATTCGCACTTGTAAAATGCTAAATAGACTTAGAAATCATATGTGATATGAGAATTTCAAATAAAATAACGGATGAGAGGCGATATTTAAAGTGGTTCGGATGCTCAAAAACGAATCCTACGTCCACTGCTATTGTATTAATAAAATGGTAAAATCAGATTATATGCAGCGAGAGAATACAGAGAGAGATAGAATGAGTGTAAGCTATTTTTAGAGTAAGATTAGTCAATCCTGCAAATGAGAGAGGAGATCTCTATTTATAGTGAGATATTTCCATGTAATAATTACAAATTTACAAGTGGGTAGGTGCCGTACAAATCTTTTTTTGTGTCCCAATGGTTGCCTGCCCGAGAGATATCATCAACTTGCATAGGGTTTGGACACGTGGGCGATCTCTAACCACTCGCAAACCTGATACTCACTTACTGTGCTAACAGGAACCATGCCACTTGTGCCATTGTGCGATGTTGCGACGTGGCAGTGCTCAGGCGACATAAAACTTTCTTGAGCCCTGATTGACCCTTGCTGACGAGGTTCCACGTCAGCCTTTACTTTTTAGGCATAACATCGCCTAATAAATTAACCTTTTGATTGGCACTTTCTATCTGGAAGGAATCTCATAGATAACTTAAAGAGTTAGGCAGATAGATAGCTTGAGTGCCGTTCTTGACAATAATCAGAGTAAATGGATATAAAAAATTGCTCCCGAATCCTTTACCCGAACAGAGGTAAAGAAGTTATGGTAATATAGCCTTTTTCTATTATTGCATACTTTCTCAGCAAAATGGCTTTGCTTATCATCCTTGTATTATCTCTCCCAATACTTCTATTGCTTCTTCAGAGACACAGAAAGAGCAAAAGTGTTCGTTCCCCACCTGGTCCTAGAGGTCTTCCTTTGATTGGTAACATACATCAGTTCGATATTTCAAACNGCAAAATACACCCATGTATGGTTGGTAGAGAAACTAATTTGTAGTTAATTATTTTTCTTCCTTAAGCCAAAATAGTCGGAGCTAAATTCTTTAGCATGAAAATTGAATATATATATATATACTACAAAAAAATTACCTTGTAGACAGGACCATATCCACCCTGCCCAAGCTTATTTTCGATTGAAAATCTATTTGTAGCTGCCTCAATATCATTCACTGTGTACTCCACCAGATTAGGAACATTGCTGCTAAAATCTACTGCTGCTTTATTAACTGTATACTTGGATCGTTTCACCCAATCTGGCATCTCTATTAACGAACAGAAAAATATCTAAGAAAACACATTTGGTAATATATGATGTTAAATGTTTTCAAAAATAATTTTTAAAAACAAATTTTAAACATAAGATAAAAAACAAATCAATTTTTTTTTTTTTCTATTTTCTTTAGTTTTTTACTTCAAAATTGGTAACTAATTTCCGGATACTAAAAATATTAAGATAATTTAGTGTCGGAAATTTATTTTTTAGATGATAAACATTTATATCCACCTTAGTTGATTGAAGAACCCCATAATAAAGCTTGAAAAAATTACCTCTTGATTTGAGCTTTCTCCTCCGCCAATAATATATCACAAACAATCCTAGTAGAAGAATAACAGCTGCTGTTGAAGACAAAATAATGGCTAACAAAGGCCTCTTACTATCCTCTTGATCGGAAGAATTGTTAATATCCGCCTCAGCTGAAAAAATAATCATCATATTAACTATAAATGGCATAAAGATCTTAATTAAAATTAATACTATCGAGTGAAATAATCAAGATTATTACCTGCTGCTTGAGAAAGCACCCAATTATCATCATACCCCACTCGCCACACGTAGTAACCCAGTAGCTTCTTCTCCTTGGCATAAGAAACCTTAGCTCTGATAGCCGTAACATCATCAAAGCCAATCCAAAATGATTCGATTGTGCAGTAATTCACCACATAAATTGAGTTGTATTTGACATCAATTTTACTACCAGATACTTTAATGTGGTTCTTGATATCCTTATAGCTCAGAATTCCATCTTTTGTAATCCCCGGTCCTGTTGCCGGTGCACCGATGCCATTGTCTTCAGGGTTTACAAGCTTCCATGCATAGCCGTATAAAGGCAAACCCAAAACCAACTTATTGGCAGATAATCCCCCATCCATCCAGTTCCTTACACCCTGATCCGTATAAACACCACTATTCGGGTCATAAAGAGGTGCGTGAGCGCCTGTAACGTTCTCCTTTTGAGGGATGTGGTAGCCAGCAGCTACGAGATTGACCCAGTTTAAGTATTGTTGTATTGCCTCTAGAGGGTAACTTTTTGCAGGCATGAATGGTGAATATTCAACCCTTGCTGTCAAGATAAGTTCTGGCTGGCTAGAGTTTCTTGCCTCTAAAGCGACGGCTGATTTCCACTCTTGAAGGAGAACCCCCATGTTGGACATATCAGAGCTATTGATCGGAAATTGCCACGCTAGGTCAAGACCTTGAAAACCGTAAAGCCTAGCTATTTCTATGGAGGAGTCAATGAAAGATTTTCTGTAAGAAGGACTGCTTGCCATGGAAGAAAAGACTGCAACATTTTCTTCTAAACCTCCAAGGGATAAGAGTGTAGTGACCGACGGGTGCTTTTGTTTCACAGTTTCTGTCAAGTTGGAGAAGACTTTTTCTTCGTCGGGCGATAAAAAGAGTTGGTAGGAGGTGGAATTTATGCGAGCAAAAGCACAAATAATGTGAGTGAAGAGGGAAAAATTTATGTTCGCAGCAGGAAGGTCAAGTTTTGAATACCAGTAATAACCAATCCTGACGTTATTAGTTTGCGCCATTGAAGGGCATATTTGAAAGGAGATAAAAATATGGAACAAAACAATGATAATATTGGACACCATTGGGAAAGCTAGAGGCTTAAAATTCCAGCACTCTTATCTGTATTTATCTCTTGAATTTATATTCATATATCAATGGAAGAAGATTGAAGATGATAAATGTATTTATACATCAATGTATTTATCAGCATATTGAAACAGAAACCGNCACATGGGAATAGTAAGTGTGGAGCTTGCACTTGCTAATCTTCTTTATCACTTTGACTGGGAAATGCCAGCTGGAATGAAGAATGAAGACTTAGATTTTGATGTTCTACCAGGTATTACCATGCACAAGAAGAATCCTCTTCGCCTTGTGCCTAGGAACTACATGTAATATGAAAAGGCAAAGGGATGAATGAAAAAGTCTTCAATGCCAACTATATTATATTATAATAAATCAGGTTTATCTTCTTTTCAGTTTTCTGGTTAGTTTATAACTTGGTCAACCCGGATTGCAATAAATAAAAGCTTTTGGATCTAGAGGGGCTTGAGTTTTATACAGTTGGTTGCCTTATATTCATTTGTTTTGTTTTTTTTTTTCATCTAGGCTTTAGCTAGACACAATTTTATTCAGATTGAGCAAACAATATGAAACCTCTTAAAGCTTGTCCCCATAATTGGGATTAAGTTTATCAACTTATCTTTAAATCCACTAAACTTTTGTTTGATTGGTCCCATGAAGAGTATTTGCTGTAAACAACTTTTGAATTTAGTATGTATATGCATTCATCATCAGGTCAATAAAGATGGCTATTGAGCGGGTTTGTAGTTTGGGTTAGTTCCATATTAGCTCGATATTTCAATGGAATTTCAAGTCAAATTTTCCAGTTTCATGCTGGTCGTTAATTTTCAAGTTAACGAGAAACCTCATCTTCTCATGTTGCTCGAAAATCCTACACTAATATTTATTTATTTATTTAATTTTTTTTTTTGGGGGGGGGGGGGGGGGGGGGGGGGGGGGGGGGGGGGGGTAGTCGGTGTGAAATAGATAATTGTATAGAAATAATGAAACAAATGTTGGCGTGAGTTGTATATTAAAGGGGAATTAGTGTAGTTATAGGAAGTTGGATGGAAAGAAAATATTTCCTTCATACGATTAGCGTAATTATGAAAAAAAAATCTTTATAGAAAATATATTTTGATATGTACTTATAGAACATAATTGTAACAAGAAAATGACTGAAATTCATTGAGAACTTTTTGACATGGTATCAGAGCCTAACCCTGGTACCTACCTCAGGGGCGGACCCAGCCCGTTGAGCCTACCCTCACATTTTCAAAAAAAATTGTTTATATAGGCCATAGAAAAATTCTAGTAATATATATATGCAGGCATACCTTCCGATTTAAAAAAAAATAAAAAATATTATACATATATCAAGACTCATAAAATACTTGCTATTAATATATATATTTCAAACCTATATCATATTAAAATTTTAAAACTTACTCCACTCTTTTCTACTTGTTTTATATAATTTTATCCCTAAAATTCTTTACTCTCTTATTCTCTGTTTCACTTTTTCTATGCTATTCGTTCTTAAAACTTTTGAAGACTAAAATTGTTGAAGCTTTCACTAATCAAGGTGCCACAATTAGCTTTATTTTCTGTTTTATCAGTTTTAGATATATGTATTACTCAATTCATTTTAGTTTATTTTAGGGTTAAATCATGCTTATTTTTTTGGAAGTTTTTCTATTATAATTTGATGGAAAAAGACACGGATCTTCTGAGTTTGTTTTATGTTTTGTATTTTGTGTTTAAGAATGTTCATATTTTCCCAAATTAAACCTTAACTATATTTTACTGAATGTTATTCTTCATCATTCACCCACTACTTTCTTATATTTCAAACGTCACTATTTAGCTGCTCAAAATTATTAAAGAAGTTTGAATTATTATCTATATTTATACTAAGAAAATTTCTCCTTTTTTTTTTAATTTATATTAAAAGTCAAGACAACGTTGATTTAATTTAAGTTTTGATTAACTTTAGCGTAGGCTAGGCCTGATCAAAGTCATGAAAATTTATATTATAATTTTTAAAAGCCAAAAAAAGAAAAAAAAAAAAAAAAAGAGAGAAGAAATAAGAAATTTGTGTAGAACATTTTTGGTGGATTGTGATTGTTGTAAACTCTTTTAATTATATTAGATTTAAGTGAATCATTAGATTCTCATGGTCTTTTACTCTCTTTAATTAAAGAGGTTTTTCCACGCAAAAATTTTCTTGCGTTTCCTTATGATTTGGATGTTATTTTCAACATAATTTGCTCAAGATTTTGATTCTCATAGATTTATTTAAGTAGTAAAGTATTGTGTTATTACATTATTTTCTTTCACATTATTGATATTGTATTATTTCTTTTGCTTAAGATTTGTGATTTTTTTTAAGTTTTCATTACTTGTTTGACAAACAATGGCGGAGCCACGGAGGCTCTCTCTAGGCAAAAATCTTGGGTCCGCCACTGACCCTGACCACTGAACCCTCCGCTGAATTCACAGCTAAGATGACCAAAGCTCTCATCAAAGTCCAAGCCCCGACCCTGACCACTGAACCCTCCGCTACTCTGATCGGCATCAAGTTGAATGAAACCAACTATGCTCTCTAGTCCCAAGTTGTCGAGATGTATATCTCTGGCAAAGACAAGTTGGGATATATCAATGGTGATATTCCACAACCATCTTTGACAAATCCAACATTTCGCAAATGGCGTACAATGCCATTGTCAAAGGTTGGTTGATAAACTCCATGGATCCCTCCTTGATAGGGAATTTCATTCGGTTTCCTACGGCTAAGTTGGTGTGGGATTCCATTGCTACCACTTACTTCGATGGTAGTGACACGTCTTAGGTCTATGATCTTCAACGTCGAGTGACACGATTGAAACAGGCTAGAGGATCCCTTGAGAAATACTACAATGACCTCTAAGGCTTATGGCGTGAGATTGACTTCAGGCGGTCTAATCCTATGGAGTGTGTCGTTGATATCCAACACTATAATCTTATCCTTCAAGAAGATAGAGTATATGTTTTCTTGGATGGCCTGGATGATCGACTAGATAAGATTCGGGGCGACGTGTTGCAACTTCGCCCATTCCTTACCATGGAGCAAGCTTATGCCCATGTCCGCCTTGAAGCCCTCCGTTAATCTGTTATGATCACCGGTAGTGTAGATGGTGTATCTGGTGCTGTTCTCACCACCAAAGGACTCAGACTTGGTTCCTCTACCCCATCTCCTACCATGCACAATGGCAATCATAAATCTCGTACATCTTCCGAAGGTTTAAAGTGCTCTCATTGTGGCAATTCGAAGCACACTCATGACACTTGCTTTAAATTGCACGGGTATCTTGATTGGTGGAATGATCTCCAAGCTAGGAAGGGTCGTGACCTTGGCACTAAGGATGAAGGCTCTGGTCAAGCAGCTATGGTTACTGCCAAACCTCAACTCTCCTTCACACCACAGATGGCACTGGTTCCGAACTCAAGTAACTGTGGTTGTGCTTGTTATACTTCGAATAATGATGCTAACCGTGGTGCATGGCTATTGGACTCCGGCGCCACTGACCATATGACGTTTGCCGCTACGGATTTCTTCACGACGTCCCTAACGAAACGTACAAATATTGCCAATGCTAATGGCTTTACCTCTCCAGTCACTGGCACGGGCACTATGGTCTTATCTCCTATGTTACAGTTGCATAATACTTTACTTGTTCCATCTTTATAGCGACTAACCAATTAGTTGCAAAATGTTCGTTTTAGTGTCTAATAATTTATCGCGAATCCCACAAAAATTAGACGCCAAAGGTGTAAGTGTAATTTCGTCAAAGATATTAACAACTATTTTATTAGTCGACGAATATATTTTTTGGTGACCAAAATTTAGTAGTTAATTGTTATACTTTTAGACGCTGAATGTAGAATCCAAATGCTTTTCGCAACTATTTTATTAGTGACCAAATGTATCTTTTGGTAACCAAAATTTAGTAGTTAATTATAATTATTAAGTATAGTCATTTTAGACACTGACCAACTCAATTCTAGAAATAACTTTCACAAGAAAACAAAGAACTAAATCATAGAACATATAAGANCATCAAACATAACCTAGAGAATAATACAATCCAGTTCCCATTTGTCAAATCTGAGGACCAGCTTGCAGATATACTTACCAAAGTCGTGTCAAGCAAAGACTTCCACAACTCACTGATCAAGTTGCGCATGAAGGATCCGTATGCATCTTGAGGGGGAGTGTTGGCGTGCGTTGTATATTAAAGGGGAATTAGAGTAGTTATAGGAAGTTGGATGGAAAGAAAATATTTCCTTCATACGATTAGCGTAATTATGGGAGAAAAATCCGTATAGAGAATATATTATGATATGTACTTATAGAACGGAATTGTAACAGGAAAATGACTGAAATACATTGAGAACTTTTTGACAAATTAAAGGTGAAATTGTTCCTTACGCCACTGCGGTAGCCTAGGGTTAATACACTTTAATTGTTGCCATACTACTACAATAGTTTTTTAGAAAGACAAGTAGTGTTTGCGTCAATAACTTTGTCATCCGCCCCTTAATAAGAGGATGAGAATCATAATACACTGTTATCTTATCTCAAGATCCTTAATTAAAAACTTTTATTGGTTAGGAGAAAATTAAAAATCTTTAATTAATTCACTCTTTTATTTTCTCTTTTTATTTCGTGTAGTTGGGGTTGGGAAAGCAGACGTAGTCACTGTTGTCATTTAAAAGTCTTGGTCTTCTTCTTTAGCAAGCATTATATAATTATATATATATTTAAATTAATATTTTTCAATTATAAAGCGACAAAAGCATGCTTCTTATAAGTTTAGGCTGCCCTACTTTCAAGTCTTAATATATTAAAAAAGAAAAAGTAATTAAAGGAATCCAACCTCACTCCAACTTTGATTATACAAAAGCCAATAAATTAAATAATATTTAAATAATACCATAAAATCAAAGAAGCTAGGATAAGTTATTAATAATGGTTTAAGTACGTGCACAACTAAAAACTTATATTATATTATAGGCTTAACAATTAATTAATTAAAATAATAAAATCTAGAATAAAGATTAATTAAAGCATCTGATGTAAGTTGGGTTTTAATTAATCAATTAATTGACAAAATTAGAAAACATATTTTTGTCTTGACGGATTATCAATGCTTTAATTAATTATTAATTGTTTGATTAAGCTTAATTAATTAATTAAGCATTGGAGAGGCATCCAAGAGAGGTTTCGGTAAGGTGCAATGCAAATGCAAGTGAAGATAATTCAGTCAAGCAGCATGTACATATTTTAATATTTGAGGTTATTAAATTAGTAATTTAATATAATTAGTTAGGTCTCTTGTTCAAGAAAAAATTATAAAACATGTGGTCGGATGAGAAGGTACCTCCAGCAGTCCATGCAAATAATAATTGAGTTGTCACTTGGCATAGAAGTCTAATATAACTTGTAGGAGGGGCTCAACATTAATATTTATACTAATATAACTAGTATAAATATAAGTGTACAAAGTTTCCAAACATACATGCTGGTGGAAGTAAACGCCGGTAAAATCCATAAAAATCATGATGTAAACACGATATATATGGACAACTAAGTCAAGGTCTTTGAGTAGGCCATAATCACTTTAAGAGGCCTTATTATAGAGATCATGACTTATGGGAATATTCAATGAAACTTCTATCTCACATTGAATGAGTATTTTGATTATATAACATGGAAGATTTTAGTTTAGAAATAATCAATGATATTAATTATAAAGATAAAAGGGAATGAATAAAAACATAAAATCATTGGGTTGTGATATATATGACTATTTTAAAACCCGGATCGGACTGACTGGTCAGATCGGGACCCGACAGCCTCTCCAATCCGGTTTAGGTTTCAGGGATTTTTAATATCTTTCAAAGTTGTAGGGACTAATTGGTCATTTTTAGGGGTGTTTTTGAAGTATTTCAAAGTTGTAGTGAATAATGAAAATTTTTGGGGAATTTTTTAAATATAATATTTTAACCATCAATGACTAGTAGTCATGAAAAAAAAATTGTAAATTTGATATCACACCAGGAACCATTTGCAATTTTCATTAAACTGGCTTCCCCAAATTAAATGAAGATCCTTAATTTAAGACCTAAATATCTAGGAAGAATGATTTTCATTACAATGGGCTCCCCCACATGAAACTAAGACATTTGTTTTGTTTAGTTGAAAGTGGGAATTTGATACAATGTTAAGTTGTCATTCATAAAAGCTAAAACTTGTGGGAGGGGCTCAACATTAATATTTATACTAATATAACTAGTATAAATATAAGTGTACAAAGTTTCCAAACACACATGCTGGTGGAAGTAAACGCCACTAAAATCCATAACAATCATGATGTAAAAACGTATGATATGGACATAACTAAGTCAAGATCTTTGAGTAGGCCATAATCACTTTAAGAGACTATTAACATAGACCTTATTATAAAGATCATGACTTATGGGAATAGATTATATAAACGTAATTTTTATTGCTCAGGTCACCAGTCCAAACGGTTGGACTGGTCGAACTGTGACCCAATCACTTTGCCTAGTCTCACAACAGGTCGAGTTTCAGAACAATGATATACATGAAGTTGTACTATTGTAGTATTCAATAGATTTTTTCATCTTCAATTAATGTCTTTTTAATTTAGGTAAAGACCTTCTTTGGCTCAACTTAGAGTGCCTACTAAATTAAAGGTGAAATCATTCCTTATGCCGCTGCGATAGCTTTGGATTAATACACTTTAATTGTTGCTATATTACTACAATAATTTTTCAAAAAGACAAGTAGTGTTTGCGTTAATAGCATTTTCATCCTGCCTCTTAATAAGAGGATGAGAATCATAATACACTGTTGTCTTATCTCAAGATCCTTAATTAAAAACTTTTATTGGTTAGGAGAAAATTAAAAATCTTTGATTAATTCACTCTTTTATTTTCTCTTTTTCTTTCGTGTAGTTGGGGTTGGGAAAGCAGATGGTTGTGTTTGTTTTATTATTTTAAATAGTATTTTTGAAATATTATTGATAGGTAAAATTGGGTGATTATTACGAGATAGAATTTAAAAATTAATAAAAAACCCCTTAAGTTTGATAATTTAACTTAACACCTTAATATATAAAATTTTTGTAAACTGACAAAAACACCTCCACCACACACAGTTGCCAGATTCCGGCTACCATCGTCAGAATCTGGCGTTACGGTGCACAATTGGCTGGATCTGGCCGATTGTACGCCGAGATGACCTTTTTCAAGCAGATCCACAGTGGATTTGGCCGGAAAAAGCCAGATCTATGACCAGATCTGGCCGTGTTTGGTCATCAACTAGGATAAGTTATTAATCAAAGAAGCTAGGATAAGTTATTAATAATGGTTTAAGTACGTGCACAACTTATATTATATTATAACCTCGTCTAGGGACTAGGCTCAACAATTAATTAATTAAAATAATAAAATCTAGAATAAAGATTAATTGAAGCATCTGATGTAAGTTGGGTTTTAATTAATCAATTAATTGACAAAATTAGAAAACATAATTTTGTCTTGACGGATTATCATTGCTTTAATTAATTATTAATTGTTTGATTAAGCTTAATTAATTAATTAATTAAGCATTGGAGAGGCATCCAAGAGGGGTTTCGGTAAGGTGCAATGCAAATGCAAGTGCAGATAATTCAGTCAAGCAGCATCTACATATTTTAATATTTGAGGTTATTAAATTAGTAATTTAATATAATTAGTTAGGTCTCTTGTTCAACAAATAATTATAAAACATGTAGTCGGATGAGAAGGTACCTCCAACATCACAATATAATTAAATTAAGCGTGTTCACATTTTTAGTTTTATAAAATTTGAAATAATAGAATATTAAAATAGAACATTGTCGTCATTGTTGATAGCTTAGAGTTAATGAAAGTTATATATATCCAAGAGTCCATGCAAATAATAATTGAGTTGCCACTTGGCATAGAAGTCTAATATAACTTCCAAACAGGTGCTGGTGGAAGTAAAATCCATAAAAATCATGCTATAAAAACGTAAGATATGGACATTAACATTATTATAAAGATCATGACATATGAAAATATTCTATGAATATTCAATCTTGAATTGAAAGAGTCTTTTGATCACAAACCAAATAAGTATATAACATGTAAGATTTTAGTTTAGAATAATCAATTATATTAATTATAAATTAAGATAAAATAGAATGAATAGAAAAAGTTAGAGACGACATAGAATCTTTGGGTTGTGATACACATGAAGAGGTACTATTGTAGTATTCAATAGATTTTTTTCATCTTTAATTCACTCTATTATTTCCTTTTTTTCTTTCGTGTAGTTGGGGTTGGAAAAGCCGAAAGCAGACCTAATTATAGTTGACATTTAAAAGTCTTCGTCTTCTTCTTTCCAAGACAATCTTGGATTAGGATCAATATTAATAATAGATAGTCCGGTTTTAAGATGTTCAGTTTTAGATATGCATTATCTGATTGTATTTTGAGGAGGCACGTTTAGAATAACTAAGGGTCTGTTAGTTACAATTTTTGAAAAATATTATTCTAAAAAAGTGTTTTAAATTGAGTTTAATTAAATCGAATTGAATTGGATTTGAATTTGAAAACGTGTTTAATAAAACATCTGAAAATTATATCAGAGTTAGATAAAATACTGAATAATTATTTGATACATTTTTAAATAAGGTTTTTAAGATAGAATAGTTGTTAGATACATTTTCCGAAAATATTTATTATTTGATTCTGAAACTTTTTTTTCCAGTTTACAATAAAGAAGTAGAATATGGATTACCAATAATCTTCACATGAGCAACGACCATCTTGAAACCGATGGAATCTATGGCTATCTCGAACTACAATTTCTCCATTATAGGCTTGAGATACAATCTCCATAAATCCGGAGATTATTCACAATTCGGATTGGGGATTTTTCAGGGGTGATTCTAAGCCCAAAAGCAACAGCCAACCTCTCACTATGGTGAGATGATGTTTGTTGTAGTTCTTGTTGCTGTAATCTTCTTTCAATCTCCTCCAACATGGAATAAATTTCGGTAGCATGAGGATCAAAGAAATCCCCACAAGTAAACGTATGAAGAACATCTTGTTCTATAAGGCTATATCGTGGTTGCTTCCTTAATCCTATATCATGTAGCTTTGTTCTTAGTCTGCTCACACCATCTAATCTACCACCTTTTGCATAAACATTTGAAAGCAGCACATATGCTGCATCAGTCAGTGGGTCTATCTCTGTGAGATGTATTGAATGCATGTTCAGCTATTTCGACATTTTGGTAGCTTCCACATGCTCTCAACAAGGAGATCAACCATACATCCATAATGCTGTATCTTAGGGTTTATGTCGTAACTACTCATCTTATGGAAGAATTTGCAACCTTCATCTATTAAACCTCAATGACTACAGGCAGTTAGAAGAGCTATAAAAGTGACATGATTGGGCTTTATTCCAGTTTTCCATTTCCAAGTATAAATCAATTGCTGCGCTTGTTCCGCCATGGCATATGTTGCTATCATTGCAGTCCATACAAATATATTCCTCTCACTAATTTCAGAAAACAACTCCTAGGCTATTTCATAGCAACCACACCTTCCATACATGTCAATTAGACAAGTTCCTAACATGCTATCTAGACTAATTTGATTTTTCTTCATGTAAACATGGACCCAAATTCCATGATTAAGGGCTCCAACGCTAGCACAGGATGATAGCAAACTAACCAAAGTGAGCTTGTCAGCTTTTATATTAGAACTCTGCATCTTGCGGAAAAGCTCAAACAACTCCTCAAACTGATTATATCTAGCATAGCAGTTGATCATAGTGTTCCACGAAATCACATCTTTTTCAGGAATCACATCAAAGAAGGCTCTTGCCTTTGAAGTATTTCCATTTCTGCAAAATCCATCCAACATAGTATTCCAAGTGACAACAGTCTTGTAAGGCAACTGCTCAAAGATTCTGCATGCTTCATTAACTTGTTCACATTTTGCATACAAGTCTATCAGAGCATTTCCAAGAAACCCATCAACACTCATTCCATACTTCAAAATTGAGCAGTGGATAGATCTGCCAAACCGAAATTCCCCCACTTCAACACTTGCCGAAAGTGCTGTTAAGAGCACAACCTCATCTGGCCAAACATCTTTGAACCTCATTTCTCTAAATAACTTCAAACTCTCATAAAAATATCCACCTTGAACATAACCAGAAATCATTGCAGTCCATGAAATCAAGCTCTTCTCTGTCATCTGGTCAAACAGGAACCTAGCCGCATCTATTTTATTCGACTTCACATACCCACTAATTAATGTAGTTCCCAAAACAACATCAACATCATCAGCACCACATCTATCCAGAAGCTTTTGTGCTTCCTCCATTTTGCCACACTTGATATACATATCCACCAAACAATTCAACAAACTTCCAACTATGCCTAAATTTTTCTCCTCAATGTAGAGATGCAACGCCTCTCCCATTTTCAAATCCCTCAACTTTGCACTTGCTGAAACCAAGCTAACCATGGTTATCTCATCAGGACTAACACCATCGACTATCATTTTACGAAATGAATCCAACGCTTCTCTATACAAACCCATTGTAACATAACAAGATATCATGGTATTCCAACTAATAACATCTCTATTGGGCAATTTTTCAAACAATTGACACACTGCCTGCAATTTTCCACAATTTTTATACATGCCCATTAAATTATTAGTCAGAGATAGATTATTTCCGAACCCAGATTTCAAGATTCTCCCATGAACTTCACTCCCTTGAAACTTTCGTTTACGAGATCTCGTTTGTACTTAGTTCTTCACCTTTCATCTATATAAATTAACTTGTGGAACAGAGACCAAATGGAAATAAATTGTCAAAACTTCTTGTGGGTAACCGTCTTTAAGCTTCTTTTCAATGATAGAGTTCCAAATTTTGATGTCTAGCTCATGGGTTCGGCTTATAATTTGTTCGGCATAATCAAGGTGTTTGATAGAGACCAGGACGTGAAGAACATGGCTGTATATTTGAGGGTGGCGAATAAGATTCGTAGTGATTAAGTGGGCATGAATTGGTAAAAATTCTTTAATACCTGTAATAGAATTGAGCAAAGAGACAACAGAATTTGCAGCTGGGCCATAATTCAATATGGGATTTTTGGTTGGCGCGTTTACACAAAGAGGAAGGGATGAGAACAGGGTGGCATAAGCCATCTTTTGCGTTCAAGGTTTGACGAAACATTTCGGACAAAGTTTGATATTTAATATACAGTGATAGACGGTCTATCGGTTATCCATTCAGTAAATACGATAAATTACAAATTAAAGAACGCAGCAAATCTTCCAGATTCAAAATTGAAGGCCAGAATTGACGAAAAACAAAGGACTATATAATATATATACTGAAACATATGTTACATTGGCCATTAGATCGGTTGCAAGAGAGAAACCTATTAAAACCGCCTGAAAACGTTTATAAAACTTCTTTCTCAGCTTTTCCTTCATTAAAATATCTTTTAACAGCCAAGAAATGATAGAGGCGAACTCTTAATGTATGACTAGACTACAGGTGGACATCTTTGGAGAACTAGGTAGTAAATACAAGACTTAACATCATCGGCCAAGTGCTATCCAATCAAACGTACGATAAATCAGATGAACACAAGACCAGAGATTTTATCGCGCGTACATAAAGCATCTCCCACGACAACGCAATTAATAAAAGAACAGATAAACTGGAATAACAAAGTGCCACCATGGTTGTGGTGGTGCTATTTACACCGTCTTGCCTAAATGAAACATAAAGAAGCTGACAACAGGGAGAAAATAAAAAATAAACAAATAAATAAAAAAGAAGAAAGAAACCGGAACAACACAAGCCATAGGGTCCCCAAAATCGCATGTCAAGTACCCACTCCAAGCCACCATGATCGAGTATCAGGTGTTGAGAGGGTATGTCTAACCCCAGCCCATGAGCAGATAACCGTCACAGCTGATATCATAGCCAAATTTGCAACCAGCGCCACACTTCCTCAGCCCCTTGTTACGCGAGTGTTATAGGACTTGCAATTTGGGCACTTCTGTGCCACCACATGGAAATGTACATTCGAGGTCTTACCACAATCGTTGCAGAGGATCCAAACCTGTTAGTAGTGATTCACGTCAGTAACATATACACAAGTGACTTAATAAGGCATATGCATACTTGTTAGAAAGAGAGAGAGAGACCATTTTGTTTACGAATGATTCCGGCATTGGTGTAGATGCAATCTCCATGTCATATTTCTCCCAGACCTTTGACATGTCACAGACGGACTTGGAACAGAGGGGGCAAGCATATCTGTTAACATGATCAACACCTCAGTAAAACCAACAACATTTACCAGAAGAAATATATTGGCAGGACATAAAGAGGAAATATAAGAGTAGCAAGATCACTCACTGGTAATGTTCCCTCATCTCCTTCAAGCAGTTTTGGTGAATGGTGTGCCCACATGGCATGACAGTTACATCATTCGTCGAGTCAAATAAGTACTGCAGACAAGGATTTCCATCATACTTAACGTTAAACATGGGTAAAGTGAACCAGTCAAAACTATTATTTCCCCTCCACTAGAAGGAAAATATTCATGAAGTGACAGTGTATTACCTCGCAACAAACGGGGCAGTCATGATGCATCGCACCTTCAACACATGGGTGGCTATTCTTCAAAAGGATTGAGTAGCAACAACCTTTACAGTGACGAATAAGATGGCAAACCAAATAAATAAAATGTTAGTCATGCTATAGCTACTAATACACACCCAATGTGAACAAGTATTAGAAAGGAATTATAACACAAGTATAGCTTACCACACTTGTAGCAATGGAAGAAATTCTCACGTCCACCAATTCTGGAACCAAACAACACATCAAACATTCAGGTTAAATTTACACACTAATTTAACAAAGGCAGCAAAAGTAACAAAGAAAAAAGGAACATCTACAAATTGTTCAGTATGTCTTAACGATAAAATAAATAGGGGAATAACAAACATACCTGCAAATACCACACCCATCACAATGATACTGTTTCTTAGATGTCTGCAGAAAAGGAAAAGCAAAGATAATTAGGCCAGCCTCAAATAGCAAAGACATCAAGAACTTCAAGACAGCAATAAATAAACTATGATAAAAAAAATTAAAAAGACAATCTGGCATTTTCCACATGCCAGAGACCATCCAGGTAACCAACATTCTTACTGATATTAAAAGGATTAGTCCCTTGTATTCTTGGAGGGATTATCTCCTCAAAATCACAGAATAGAATTGATATCAGGCATTTCCAAGAACAAAATCAATTAGGAGATAAGATTAAACCACTCACATCGTCATCAAATAGCTTGCAAGTCTCGCAGAAGTACTCTCCCATGCACACACCACAATTAATACAAACTTGTTGAACCTGGTAATGGGAACAAAGGAAATAAGTCAACATATTAATAACCAATACAGCTCAGCATCGAGATGCAACAAGGCAAATAATATATTCCATTGAAGGTAGATCCCCTAGCAAACCACTTCTAAAAAGCTGAAAAATCAAGTTGATAAAAAACCCAATCAAAGTAAAATGCTCAATGCAAAACCAACACAATGAACAAAAAGTAGAACTCACTTCTTGTTCAGTCCCACAAAGTGAACATATCACCTGGTAAAAAAGAGAAAGACAAAGACAGAGACAGAGAATTCAGTCAGTAACAGTGTATACCATAATTATAATGAATTCAAGGAAAAAAGAAGTTAAATGTAGAGATTAGGGGGAACAAGGGATTATATCTACCTCTTTGACTTGGTGGCGTGGGATATCATGTCTAAGCTTCTGATCAACATTGATATTGTTCTGCAAATCACCAAATGATAAATCAATAATAATGAACAAAACAATTTGCTAATCACTAGTTTAGCAGGTTCTTAGAATAAAGAAGATAATCATCAGTGTCTTGTTTAACCAACAAACTTATATGGATAGTAGAAATTTTGAAAAAAAATCCTGAGGAAAACAAGTAACTCACCATAGCCTCATTATGACAATGACGACAATCAAAGATCTCATTGCAACAAGGAGCTCTAATGCGGCACCGTCTTCGATAGTGTTGGCATCTGCAAAAAGAAATATAAGTTAAACTGAAACAAGTAAGAAATGGGAAAACCCTTAAAGTAAATAGCTATGAAGAAAGTAGAGCAATACCCATATTCCATGTGCCCCCTCTTTAGTAATTCATTCATATCCATATGATCTGATAACCTGCACTCCCCATTTTCCAGCTGAGAGTCTGAGATCACTGCCTCAGTTTCCTCCACTCTGCAGGATATGTCCTTCGGCTCAAACTGTTGATGGTTGGAATAATTGGCTGTTACTTCCGCCATTGTAAATTACTATGCAGAGACCAGGCAGCTGAAGTTGGCAAAAAACCTAGGGCACCTGCACATATAAAACATTTAGCAAATATTCTAAAACTTAAAACACATCTAGTGGCCTGAACAAGCCAGGCAAACACTCCATGACATTGTTGCTTTCTTCTATACTGCTGCAGACCAAAGAAATCAGCAACAACAACATCCAAGGTTGAACAGCTCCAATCAGCATTACTCCAAGAGAAGGATTCATCAAAACAAGCAGATCTATTAACTTCCAAACAAAAACTACAGAGCAGCACTGAGAAACTCTGGAGCCTCCAGCTGTGAGAGAGCAATAGTATTTGCATGATCACTTGATTCCTTGAGGTCCCAGGACCAAATGAAATATACTGGAAATGACCCATAGACGTCCCAACCTATGGTAAAAGCAATAGATCACACAATCAAATGTGGTCTAAAATGCAAATAAATATAGGGGAAAGAGTGAGAGATTGCAGAAATTTTGTTGTCTTGATTATCCATCAAGACAGGCCTACCTCCACTTTCAACTCTGCACCAAGTCTCCTTTGAGAACTGAACCTACCCCAAACATAAATCATTAAAATCTTCAGGACTTCGGAGGCATCTCTTCAGTACAATGTTATCCTAGCCAGTTCTCTCCATGGTTTGATAGTAGGATTTCGAACCACCATGAGAATTGCATCTTCATACCTACATCAAGGGGCAAAGGACAATGTTCCCCTAATCGAAGAAGATGCAAACCAACTAGTGGAGCTATACTGTTCTCTCTACTGACACATGTAGTTAGTTTATAACAGGCTATGAAAATCAACGTTGTGTAGGATGGATGACATTTTCTAGACAGACCAATGGAACTCTAATAGAACAATTACACTCACTCCACAAACCCTAGTTCACTCTCAATACAGCATAAGAGGACAGCAATTATTAGGTAGCAGGAGGCACAACCACAACAAACACGGTTTTTAGGCGCATAAATTTCAATTAGTTGGGTTCCAGAAGGTGTGATCCAGCACAGCACACTGTTGTTCAGAACTATGAGAAACAGACATGAGCACTTGCGCAGCAAAAACTTACAGAATCTGCCCCATAGTAAACACTTAATCCTATATGGTCTCGCCCATAAAGCTTGACCATCCTGAACACTTGCAACTCATTAGTCATGATACAAATAAAAACCTGCATCTGAAACCTTACATGGTATGACCACAACAGAAACTGCCTCAAATTTTAGTAAGTGTAGATTCAAACTACTTATCCTGCGCAGACGCAACTGCAATCTCACATCACACAAAAAGATTGTTATAATGTCCTTAATAAGCTGATACTTAAAAAGTGTATCAGAATCAAAATACATTAGTCGCTGTAGCTCTCAAATGAAGGCAGTTTTCCCTCTCTAGATACTCCTCCCAGGGTCGTTGCCTGCTCCAGGGGAAGATGCCCAGGACTCAGCATCTCAAAATTGACCGTCACTCAAGGGAAACAAAGGCAAAATTTGGATCAAGTGAATGGTCTGGTAAACTAAAGGACCACTGCGTTATTAGCAATAAACTACCAGCCAACCATAAAGATTCTGGACCTCTCAACGTTGGAAATGAGGTTCCACTGACGCAATTTTGCCATTAACGACAGTGCTCTCACAGCCAGAACAACCAGAAAGTACAATATGGTGGCCGCTAATAGGCTAGAACCTACCAAGTTAGAAAGCTAAAATTTCCTTCGTGCTTTACTTATCTGATTTTCCAAAGGATCTTGATTTCAAAACTGGTATTTTCATTTACATCTAGTATAACTAATGCATCTTATTTAGATAATCAACCTAGCAAATTATTTCCAAGTAATTTTTTGACAATTTGCACTCCTAACAATGTCAAAGATACAAAAAGATTCTGTGGTACTTGGCCTCAATGACTTGATTACAGAGAATTTATGAGCAATGAACCCCATAATCACCCCAAGAAAACTATACACAATAGGCAAGCATCTGATATCCAATCATTCCATACATGATTGGCTATAAACATTTACTTTATAAGAGGCATTAAAAACTATATAATGCTTCAAACAAAAGAAAAGTGAAACAAGAACAGCTGATATCAATGCAAAGCAGCAAACTACTTCCAAACAAGACACCAGAGCAGGACAACAGCAAAAACAACAACAACAACAAAAAACCGGTACCACAAGAGAATCAGGTATCCCATTAGAAACAAAAAATTCTATAATCCAGCACGGATATAAACAACAATCAGATCGAGATAAGCAGAATCTTACTCTTAACAGATCGGCAAATTCAAGAACAAGTTCATTATCCACAATAAATGACACAAAACTACTTTTAACCAAGTCGCCTAAACCAAAGTGACGAGTCTCATATTTAGTTACACTAATTAGTCACAACTATACGTTTAACATCATGTTTGGCCAGCAAGAGAAAACAAACTTAAATCATACATTTTCTTAATCATAGTCTCGAGAAAACGAACAAAACCTAGAAAATGTTAAGTGTCGTACTCTTTAGAAACTACAAAGAAAATGTATGATCTCAAATTACTCTCTCCCTTCTGTATGTTTTCTAGGTAACCAAACAAAACAGAACTTAGCCTCTTAATCTAAGTTAATTAACTTATCAAAAATCAAAGCAAAACCTGCATCTTTTTATGACACATTACCTAAAATAATCAACAATTCATATAGAAGAAAGGAGAGAAAATCAAACTAACTAAAATTATAAGAAACTCTTTTGAATGACGAACTTTCAATCAGAATTCGGGAGATCGCCGATCGAAATTGGAGAAATTAATGGAAAGATCCGACAGGTCCCCGGAGCTCCTATCCAAATCCGCTCTCAAACTCAAATACAAGAATATGACTATACGTGTTGAATGAGAGAGGGTTTGAATTGGAGTCAGATATATAGGTGGTGAGGACTCAGGTTTCTAATTCCAGAGACTTCGAAATTTACTTTTTGAACACGAAAGCGAAAGGGTTGTCATAACTGGTTTTTATTGTAATATTGACAGGTTCTTTTCTGAAATTCCGAATAAACCCTCCATGCTTGGAAATATCTTTAGTCTTTACCCATTAAAGGGGTTAGGATATAATAAAGGCGGGACCAACTCATGGATATGCGCTCTTGTACTTGTACAGTACATTTAGGATCTTTAATTTTAAATGTGATCTTTGTCTTGTTTCGGAAGCAAGATTGCCTCGAATCAGAAAGGATAAGTTTGAATAAAATATAAGGTTAAGATTAAATAAAATATAATATTGTCTTTTATAAATAAAATGTATTTCATAATAAAATAATCAAAAACTTATAAATATTTTTAGAATAAATATTCATAGTGAGATTTAAATACAAAACCTTTAAATACTTTTATCTAAAGTTTAGTTATACAACCACACACCAAATGGTTATATTATTTATTTTTTAATATTATATTATTTTTTAGAATTTATATGAAAAAATAATTGTTAGTCAATATAAAACTATAGCATCAAATAACGGTTAAGAATGTTTATTCTCTTCTTTGAGTTCTTAGGTTAAAACCCTGGGGTCATATACCATAATAATATTATGATTTATATGGTCTTTTGAGTTTGTAAGGTATTCAATAGACCTCTTAAACTTGTAAGATATTCAATAGATCTCTTAAGTTTATAATATATTCAATGGATCTGAAAATTAGTTGCTTTGGGCTTATAGGGTGTTAAATATACCCTCTGAATTTATAAGGTATTCAATAGACCCTTTAAGCCTATAAAGTATTTAAAGGATTGAAAAATTAGTTGAGATATACACAATCGGTCCAAACACTTTGTAGAAAAAAAAAATATATATATATATATATATATATATTGCGTCAGATTATAAAAAAGTTAGCAATTACATAACTGATTAACACGTCAGTATCACCGTTTAAACATCTTTGTCCCTACTGATTAGACATTGGAATGACAAAATCAACGGCTGACAATATAGGAGTAGATTAGCTTATCATGGGTGCGATCATATAGTATAATTTTCCAAGTGGGGATACGTCAGACATTGGACTTTGAAAGTTCTTCGAGAATCGAAATCTTTGACGAAGGAAACGGCGCGGTCGGTCATGACCTGGGAGAGTGGCAAACAGGCTAAGCTCAGCATGAAGCGATTACAGCTCTTTCATTAACAGCAAACGATTAAGGTGGGGACACGTGTTTCGTTCTTATCGTTTAGGTTGTACATACTCGACGCGTGTCCCAGATTGATCAGGCAATTTAAAGTGTACAGTAACGGACGGTGATGCGATAGATTTTGTAATATTAAAAAATCAATTATCATCACCTTCCACGAAATTTCAAAGCTTATCCACAGTAATAAAATAAACTATTCAATGAATTTGTCTGTGTAATCAGCACGAGCCACGTCAGATTACTAAGCCGTCGTCGTTTTCGTGAGAACAAGATTCTTATTATGTTAATTAAAATGTTAATCATGATTCTCGTGGGAAATTTAATATGAAAACTAGACCGTAAAATAAGATGACGTGTCAGTTTAGCAGAAGAAGGCGAGCACAGAATAGGTTAATGATTGATTGAGTGTCGTGTGAAGCAAAGATTAGCGAGGGGCTTAATAAGGCCAATTGGGAAAAGTTAAATAGGTTTAGACTTTGGATTAATGAATAATAATGGAGATAATGATTGCATTGCTGGGTGAAAGCGAAAGTGATAAATCAATAAAACGTAGGAGAATTATGAAAGCCAAATACTGTAGTAAGCTGTTGACACGGTCCAAGCTGAGAAATAGGTAACCAATTTGAAGAGCTATTCTTCGGTAACAGCTGGCAATGGGATCAACATCATTATGATTTTATTCACAATTGGAGGTTGCTTGGAAACAAGAAACCAATTAATGAATGCTTAATTAATGTAATTAATAAAGAACTTTCGTAATCTCGACTATAACATTTATTATTATCTGATTTTTATATAGGAGACGAAACCGAAAGAGCCGGGAAAGAGGTGCAAGACATCCGTTAAAATTTCTACGCAAGAAGAAGCACATAATTAAATTAAATTCAATACAAATTTTATACGTAAACAATAATGTTACGTTCACAACTCAATCTCATAATTATTGTTTTAAAACCTAGCCTAACCTAGTTGGTTTAATCGGGATCCAAAAGCTTCAACGGGCTAGGTTTATGTTTTTCCTATTCACACAAAACCCTAAGATTTGGGAGGATGATCGACGAACAATTATTGGCCGGGATGTTGGGGCTTTTGAAGAGAAACTGTTGGTGACTGCAATGGTGGTGACGGCGTTGATTTATGGTGAGTAAATCGACCGGAAATCGAACAAAACTGATAGCGAAAGCAACCGTTTTTTGCTGGCAATTGGCGAGGCTAACGGTGGTGGGGTGAGGTGGGTTTTAGTCGGGAGGAAGAGGGGAGTAATTTCTGGGTGATGGTGAGGGTTGTCGACGCCGGTGTCGATGAGATATGGCCTGGAGTGCCGACGCCAGCGTCGGTGAGATTTGACCTAAATCGAATCTATTTTGACCAGATCTTAGATATATTTTAAGGGGAATGAGCTCAAGGGACGATTGGGGTTGAATTTGGGGTGTCGTCGCCACCAACCAGTGGTCGGCCGATTTGTATTTGGGGTGTGCTTGCTAAATTTTAAACCTATAGGGATGTAATGTAATTATAATGGGTGTTTTGCTGAATTTTAAAAGTTTTTGTCAACTGATTTGACTGTCTGTCAAACCGGTTAACCCGACACCTGGCAACTTTGCCGATTTCACCCGGGTTGGGTTTTAAAACATTGCTCATAACCTTCTTTTATAACCTTAACATTTCAACATGATTGGTAGCTAAGTTGACAACTTATACGTCAACTCCCATCACACATAAGATATTAAATGACTTTGATTAAACGCAAACGGTCGTTTTTTAGGGACGAATGACAGTTATTTCATAAAGAATGATTGTTTCTTATTAATGGAACGATCATTCGTCCCTAAAGAATAGTTATTCGTCTCTAAGGAACAATTGTTTATGTTTAGTCAAAAATTTTAGTTAACGTGGTAGTATAAACTCTACTGCTATGTTAAGGTTATAAGAGAAAGTTATGAGATTGTATTATAAATGTAATATTTTTGTATACGTAAATTAATGTAACAAATTCTTTTATTTTTTAATTTTTTTTTATGGGGCTTATAACAATTTCCTCCTTGTAGTTTGAGAAAAATAACAAATGCACCCAAGGATGGTCACGAGGGGTGCGGTGCTGGTGCACCAGGCAGAAGGAGAAGTGAGGTGCAACAACTGGACTGGTGCAGGCACCGAGCCACCGACGATTTACTCATGATTCCATGAGAGACAGTACTTCAAAAGTTGTCCCAGTGTTCACGTGCTCAATATCTGCTCCTTTCACTTTCTTGGACGCGATGGAGCGTTTGGTAGGCCCTGACTAGTTGGACTGTAACTATATCCATGCAAAAACGCCATTTGATTAATTGCCCATGCAAATCTACTTCTAATTAGTAATTATAATATCTTAATAACGTTTAATTCTCTCTTATCTCATAATTTCTTATTAATCGTTGGTGGTGAGGACTCAGGTTTCTAATTCCAGAGACTTCGAAATTTACTTTTTGAACACGAAAGCGAAAGGGTTGTCATAACTGGTTTTTATTGTAATATTGACAGGTTCTTTTCTGAAATTCCGAATAAACCCTCCATGCTTGGAAATATCTTTAGTCTTTACCCATTAAAGGGGTTAGGATATAATAAAGGCGGGACCATCTCATGAATATGCGCTCTTGTACTTGTACACTACATTTGAGCTCTTTAATTTTAAATGTAATTTTTGTCTTGTTTCGGAAGCAAGATTGCATCGAATCAGAAAGGATAAGTTTGAATAAAATATAAGGTTAAGATTAAATAAAATATAATATTCACTTTCATGAGATAAAATTTATTTATAAATAAAATGTATTAAACTTATAAATATTTTTAGAATAAATATTCATGTCGTAGGATTTAAAAGCAAAACCTCTAATTTTTTTTATCTAAAGTTTTGTTATACAACCACACACCAAATTGTTATATTATTTATTTTTCAATATTATATTATTTTCAGAATTTATACGAAAAAATTATATTAGCCAATATAAAACTATTGCGTCAAATAAGCCAAGGGATTGATATGATGGATAAGAATGTTTGTTCTCTTCTTTAAGTTCTTGGATTAAAATCTAAGGGCAATATACCACAATAATATTGTGACTTACATGGGCTTCGTTTGGTTCAAAATTTAGGGGTTTTGAGAAAAGTTTTTTGAAAAAAGTTGAATTGGGTGGGTATTACGATGTAGGATTTATAAATTAATAAAATACCCCCTATATTTATTTTTTTACAAAATACCCCCTATAATAAAACATTAAAAGTTAACAAAAACATCCCCAACCCACCCTCAAATACCCCCAGCCGGCCACCACCACCGAAGGTGGCCGGAGTCGCTTTATCGACGCATGACTGGCTGGATCTTACTGGTCATGAGCCGATATGGCCTTTTCCAGCCAGATCCACAATGGATCTAGCCGGCAAAGGCCAGATCTGCGACGGCCAGATCTGGCCGTATTTGCTCTCAACGATGGCCAACAAACGGTCGTCGTTGATCGTCAACGACGACCGTTTGTTGGCTGTCGTGACTGATTGCTACGGCCAAAGATCTGGCCGTCAACAGCCAGATCTTTGGCCTTAGATCTGGCCTTTTCCGGCCAGATCTACCGTGGATTTGGCTGAAAAATGCTAGATCGGGGCACTACCGGTCAGATTCAGCCAGTAGTGCGCCATCCTACCAGATTCCGGCCATTTTCCGGCGGTAGTGGCCGGAATCTGGTAAATGTGAATTGTTGTGGTGTTTTTATAATTTTTAAAAAAATATTTAGGGGTATTTAATTAAATTAACAAATTTAGAGGGTTTAAAAAAAATTGAATAATATTGAAAGTAGTATTCCCAAAAATGAGAGTTTTTGGGTATTTTACTGTTTAACTTTTTTGGTAATACTAAAAGTAGTATTCCCAATTTTGAACCAAACGAAGTCTATGGTCTTTTGGATTTATAAGGTATTTAATAAATAATACCTTATAAATATCTTAGACTTGTAAAATATTCAACGAATCTCTTAAGCTTATAATATATTTAATGGACCTGAAAAGTAGTTGCTTTGGGATTATATGGTATTTAAATATACTTCTTGAACTTGTAAGGTATTCAATAGACCTTTTGAGTTTGTAGAGTATTCAAGGGATTAAAAAATTAGTTAAAGTATGCACAGTCACTCCGAACACCTTGTTAAAAAAAAAAAAATTATATATATTGCGTCAGATTATAAAAAAGTTAGCAATTACATGACTGATTAACACGTCAGTATTACCGTTTAAACATCTTTGTCCCTACTGTTAGACATTGGTATGACAAAATCAACGGCTGACAATATAGGAGTAGGTTAGCTTATCATGAGTGCGATCATATAGTGTAATTTTCCAACTAGGGATACGTCGGACATTGGACTTTGAAAGTTCTTCGATAAGCGAAATCTTTGACGAAGGAAACGGCGCGGTCGGTCATGATCTGAGAGAGTGGCAAACAGGCGAAGCTCAGCATGAAGCGATTACAGCTCTTTCATTAACAGCAAACGATTAAGGTGGGGACACGTGTTTCGTTCTTATCGTTTAGGTTGTACATACTCGACGCGTGTCCCAGATTGATCAGGCAATTTAAAGTGTACAGTAACGGACGGTGATGCGATAGATTTTGTAATATTAAAAAATCAATTATCATCACCTTCCACGAAATTTCAAAGCTTATCCACAGTAATAAAATAAACTATTCAATGAATTTGTCTGTGTAATCAGCACGAGCCACGTCAGATTACTAAGCCGTCGTCGTTTTCGTGAGAACAAGATTCTTATTATGTTAATTAAAATGTTAATCATGATTCTCGTGGGAAGTTTAATATGAAAACTAGACCGTAAAATAAGATGACGTGTCAGTTTAGCAGAAGAAGGCGAGCACAGAATAGGTTAATGATTGATTGAGTGTCGTGTGAAGCAAAGATTAGCTTAATAAGGCCAATTGGGAAAAGTTAAATAGGTTTAGACTTTGGATTAATGAATAATAATGGAGATAATGATTGCATTGCTGGGTGAAAGCGAAAGTGATAAATCAATAAAACGTAGAACAATCATGAAAGTCAAATACTGTAGTAAGCTGTTGACACGGTCCAAGCTGAGAAATAGGTAACCAATTTGAAGAGCTATTCTTCGCTAACAGCTGGCAATGGGATCAACATCATTATGATTTTATTCACAATTGGAGGTTGCTTGGAAACAAGAAACCAATTAATAAATGCTTAATTAATGTAATTAATAAAGAACTTTCATAATCTCGACTATAACATTTATTATTATCTGATTTTTTATATATAGAAGACGAAACCGAAAGAGCCGGGAAAGAGGTGCAAGACATCCGTTAAAATTTCTACGCAAGAAGAAGCACATAATTAAATTCAATACAAATTTTTTACGTAAACAATAATGTTACGTTCATAACTCAATCTTATAATCATTATTTTAAAACCTAGTCTAATTTGACCAGTTTAACCGGAACCTAGAAGCTTCAATGGGTTAGATTTATGTTTTTCCTATTCACCAAAAACCCTAAGATTTGGGAGGATGATTGGTGAACAATTGCTGGCCGGAATGTTGGGACTTTTGAAGAGAAACTTTCGATGAATGCAATGGTGGTGACGGCGTTGATTTTCGGTGAGTAAATCGATTGAAAATCGAACAAAACTGGTAGCGGAAACAACCAGCTTTTGCCGACGATTGGCGAGACTAACGGGGGTGGGGTGAGGTAGGTTTTGGTCGGGAGGAAGAGGAGAGTAATTTTTAGGTGATGGAGAGGGTTGTCGACGCCGGCGTCGATGAGATCTGGCCTGGAATGCCGACGCCAGCGTCGGTGAGATTTGGCCGAAATCGAACCTATTTCGGCCAGATCTTGGGTATATTTTAAGGGGAATGGGCTCAAGGGATGATTGGGGTTGCATCTGGGGTGTCGTCGTCGCCAACCAGTAGCCGGCCGATTTGTATTTGGGGTGTGTTTTCTAAATTTTAAACCTATAGGGATGAAACTGTAATTATAAGGGGTGTATTTGCTAAATTTTAAAAGTTTTTGTCAACTGGTTTCACTGTCTGTCAAACTGGTTAAACCGGTCAACCCGAGACCCGACAACTTTGTCAGGTTTCACCCTGGGTTGGGTTTTAAAACATTGCTCATAACCTTCTCTTATAACCTTAACAATTCAACATGACTGGTAGCTAAGTTGACAACTGTTACGTCAACTCCCATCACACATAAGACATTAAATGACTTTGATTAAACGTGAACGGTCGTTTCTTAGGGATGAATGACAGTTATTTCATGAAAAATGATTGTTTCTTATTAATGAAACGGTCTTTTGTCCCTAAAGAACAGTTATTCGTCTCTAAGGAATAATTGTTTATGTTTAGTCAAAAATTTTAGTTAACTTAACTCTACTGTTAAGGTTGTAAAAAAAAGTTATGAGATTGTATTATAAATGTAGTATTTTTGTATACGTAAATTAATGTAACAATTTCTTTTATTTTTTCACGGGGTTTATAACAATTTCCTCCTTGTAGTTTGAGAAAAATAACAAATGCACCCAAGGATGGTCACGAGGGGTGCGGTGCTCGTGCACCAGGCAGAAGGAGAAGTGAGGTGCAACAACTGGACTGGTGCAGGCACCGAGCCACCGACGATTTACTCATGATTCCATGAGAGACAGTACTTCAAAAGTTGTCCCAGTGTTCACGTGCTCAATATCTGCTCCTTTCACTTTCTTGGACGCGATGGAGCGTTTGGTAGGCCCTGACTAGTTGGACTGTAACTATATCCATGCAAAAACGCCATTGATTAATTGCCCATGCAAATCTACTTCTAATTAGTAATTATAATATCTTAATAACGTTTAATTCTCTCTTATCTCATAATTTCTTATTAATCCTCAAGGACACTCGTGTCATGGTACGAAGAATCAATTAATTCGTAGGATAAATCTGGACTGGCACGTGCAAACATTTATCTTTTTAATTAAAGAAATTAATTAAAAAAAAACTAAAGTTGGTTGATGAGAAGAGTAAGAAGCGGCAACCGTCCTGAACAGACGCTGCCCTCCGTCCATACGTAGTACATTCTCATCAGTTCCGGCAAACACTGCCACTCACTGACAAGACAATTTTTAGCCTTACAAAATTACTGCAATATCAACTAACTTTTCTCCAACGTCCCCACTTAATGCTTTACCAACTTTAACTGATCTTACTACTTCCACTACATTACATTATCCCACAACTAATTAACTTCTCTCCTATTCTAAGCTCTTTAAATTTACCACTGAATAATTACCCGTTACTCTAAAAAAGAGAGAGCTCCTACTGGTTTAGCTGTATATATTTTTCCCCGCATTTTCCATAAGCTCAAAGCTCTCTTACCCAACCACATTCTTCGCCTCCAAAATCTCCTCCACCATCACTTGTTCTCTCTCACTAGATCTGAACAATTACATACAAAACGTACATATGTATATATATGCACTAAAACACTTCCATTGATGTTCACTGGAGTGAGATGATGAAAAATATTCACTTTTTGCCTTCATTCTTTACAGCCATTCTCACTTTCATTTACCTGGTCACTGCACAAAATGCCTACATTTCTACCCCTTCAGCAGTCCGACTCAAAGATTCGGAAGCTGCATATATTAAACAAAGGCAACTTTTGTATTACAGAGACCAGTCTGGTTCAAGAGGTGAGTTTGTGAAAGTACCACCTTCGTTTACTTTCGACAACCCCAGACTCAGAAATGCTTACATTGCTCTCCAAGCATGGAAGCAAGCCATCATTTCAGATCCTCGGAATCTAACAGGCAACTGGGTTGGATCCAATGTGTGCAACTACACTGGAGTTTTCTGTTATCCGGCTCTCGATGACCCATCAATACAGACGGTTGCTGGCATTGATCTTAATCATGGTGATATTGCTGGTTATCTCCCCGAAGAGCTAGGACTCCTCACAGATATTGCATTGTTTCACATTAATACCAATCGTTTTTGCGGCACAGTTCCAAAGAGTTTCAAAAAACTAAAGATCCTGTTCGAGCTTGATTTAAGTAACAACCGATTTGCAGGGAAGTTCCCTTACGTTGTTCTGGAATTGCCAAAACTCAAATTTCTTGATCTTCGTTTCAATGAACTCGAAGGGAAGGTACCAAGAGCTCTTTTTGATAAAGATCTTGATGCCATTTTCATAAACCATAACAGGTTCGCTTTCGAATTACCTGACAATTTTGGAAACTCACCAGTATCTGTCATTGTTCTTGCAAACAATAAGTTTCATGGATGCGTACCAATGAGCTTAGGTAACATGTCAAAAACTTTACGAGAACTGATTATGATAAACAACGGGCTGCACTCATGTCTGCCGAAGGAGATTGGTTTGCTCAAGAATTTAACAGTTCTTGACGTGAGCCATAATAACCTCTTGGGTGAATTGCCAGATACAATTGCAGAGATTAAGAGTTTGGAACAGCTAAATGTAGCGCACAATATGTTGTCAGGAACTGTCCCTGAGAAAGTGTGTTCCCTTCCGAGTTTGCATAATTTTAGTTTTGAGGATAATCATTTTACTGGTGAGCCACCAGTTTGTTTGGGTTTGAAAGAGTTTGATGATAGAGGAAATTGTTTGAGGGGTAGACCAGGGCAGAAATCAAGTTCAAGATGTAATATGTTTTTGTCTAAGCCTGTTCATTGCCAAGCTATCAAATGTCCATCTCCTCATTCTCCACCCCCACCATCATTGCAACCTCCTCCACCCTTGCCATCACCTCCACCCCCTTCACCAGCTCCACCCCCTAGACCAGCTCCTCCCTCCCTGCCACCACCTCCACCCCCTAGACCAGCTCCACCCTCCCTGCCACCACCTCCACCATCTCCAGTATCTCCGCCACCAACTCCACCAAATTCTCCACCGCCACCACTTTTTTCACCACCACCTCCATCAAATTCTCCACCGCCACCACTTTTTTCACCACCACCTCCACCAAATTCTCCACCCCCACCACTTTTTTCCCCACCTCCACCAAGTTCTCCACCGCCACCACTTTTTTCACCACCACCTCCACCAAATTCTCCGCCACCACCTCCGAATTTTCCACCACCACATTCTCCGCCACCACCACCTCCATCTCCCTCACCACCTGTGGAGCAATCGCCACCACCACCACCTTCTCCACCATTGCCACCACCACCAGCTCCAGTATATGATGGTCCATTGCCACCAGTTATTGGACTGCCATATGCATCCCCACCACCACCACCATTTTATTAACTCATTTGAGAAAATTTCAGCTTCCATCACCCTTGGAGAGCTCGTAAGTTGATGCGATTTATTTGCCATTGACTCTTCATCATTGCTTTTGCATACTTCAATATACTAGATGAGACCAAAACAAGGAGCAAAGACTTTGATCAGTTGTGCTGTGATTGTCCAAGAAGTTTGCTTGTGGTAAGAGTAAGAACAGTGTAACAGGCGAGATTAGATATTTGATTGAATAGTAATGTGTTGAATCTAAGTTGTTAGGAAGATGAAAAAAGAATAGTAAAAATAGATTGCAGGGCGTGTAATTACAGAGATGAGTAGCCATTCTTGTTTTATTTTGTGGCAGTTTATGTGATGTTTTTCAGATAAACTAGTAATCCTAGTACATTCTATTCTATCTTACAGTAATATTTTTTTTTTTTTTTTTGCCTAATATTTAGAGAGTTAGTTTCAGATCATCAACCTTCTTCTTCATACTTATAATGTCTTGTATAATAGACATGTAATATTATTGAAGGCAATATAATTATAGCCATAGATGGAGTTGAGAATGAGTTTCCATTCTTCAATTTCTTCCCTTTTAAGTCTTATTCTGGAATAATTTCATACATATTGACAAAACATATATATAATTAGCAGCACAAGCATGTCTTAAAATTTTACAAGGTACTTCAGACAATGCTATTAGTACAAAAGGTCAAAACACAATGACAAAATATCCCAAGGTTTACAAAAATAGTGCAAAGTTGCTATAAGTTGGAAAGAGTAAATGGATAGCGGACGTATTACTTAAAAAGAAGATAGTCATTTTCATATCTTTAAAGATTTGGTTCTCTGCTGAACCTATTTCTTTCTCATCAACCAAAAGAAGCTTTGTTTGTGATGCACATGAACATTTTTAAATTTAAACTGTTAAGTTACTCATGCACCACCCCACTAAAAAGGTTGCCTTTAGGCTTTTTGGTAGTTAAAAGGACTTAAAGGTATATGCATCTTTATAATTTGTGATTGATCTACAATTTCAAGAATTTTCTCTGATCTACAGCAATGGTGACATAACAATTCAAAACACATTGCAGGTGCTACTACTTATTGACAGTCAAACGCAAATCATTTATCATGGTAGTTAAAAGTAAAAGCGATATCAGAATCTTCAATAGTTTCGACACAAAATTTAACCTATTCACAAAGTGGTTCCTTCAAATATTCCTATCTGTCCTCACCCTGCCAGATATATAATTAATGAAACACCTACCAAAGATATCCAACAAAAACTGATGGTCTAAAAATTTCCACCATAGTTTATTATTTGTTCACATTCAGTACAACAAGCTGTGGTAGACATCCGTTAAAAGTTACTGTTAACTTCTATCAAAACATTGAATATAGAACCATAATATAAAATGAAGTCATTAAGAATTAAAGACCACCACAACATTGGACTAGATATAGAATTCCCTGAAATGAATTTGTCACAGATATAAATATATCTACACTTAATTTCAAATACAAAAATACAATTTGATTATATATACATCTCTTAATATTTTGATCTTAGTCTGAGCAGTAGCAAAAAAATTATTTACGACGTCAAAAACTATATATCTTGGAAAACTACTTTGCTTACTTAGCAAGGTTTTCAAATTAGCAACCATGCTTTATGGACTCAATATAGCCTGAAGTCCGCAAAGTTTTATAAACTTATAATCAATTTCTAGGTTCTATAGTCTAAAGAAAAAAGGATTAAATTTTATTATTACCTCAACAAAGTCCCAAATAAATCATCAGAAAGATGAGTATGATGGATCCTCCATTTTCCATTCACTGCAGTAGAAAGAAAAGTGTGATTAAGCCAAACTTGTCAAATACAATGCTAAAAAGGCTCAAAATGCATAGCTGATCAAAATACGAAAGACTAAACTTCTTTCTTATATATGCATAATCAGGTACAAGTACAATAAAAAAATGAAGCGGTTCAGAGCAACTCTAAGCAGTAAAGCAATAGTATATACCTCCATATGCAGAGATTCCATATTTCATGCCTGACAAAATATTTGGCTTCTTAGGTAAGAAGGTGCAAAACTCTAACTCATTCTCATGTTAGATGTTGGCAGATAAAAAACGTAACTTTGCAACCTCACCAAAAACCATTGTCCTATAAGCAGTAAAGCTGCAGTCTCTGCACAAATAGTTGATCACCTTCAGAGGTTGAATTAATGAAGAAGCAAAAAATTAGATTGTCGGCCATTTGAGAGTTCATCTTAGGTGAAAAACCCTGGAGCAGCCGATATCAGAATGCAAAACTTTTTTGGCTTTTCCAGGTCTAATGATTCCAATAACATAACTTGAGAACCTCATTGGAAATTTTGGTCCTACAAGCAGAAAAGCTTTGGTTCAAAGAGATATTTAATCACGTTTTCAATGGCCCAATCAATGAAGACGTGGGAACAGCTGAAGATTGACTGCCATTTGAGGGTTCACCTCAAATGGTAATGGCTGGAGCAGCCCACTGTTAGACAATTCTTCCAAGCCTTTTATATCCTGCTGCAAGCGTGTTGCATGTAGAATAGCATGCTCAAGGACTAGAGGATCATCTGGGGGGTTCTGAAGAAGGTTAAGCAATGTCTGCCTATAAACTTGAGCTGCCAATAATGGCCTTGCAACCTGCCGATTTTTACATACAATTGCCAACTTGATGACATGCTTGCAGACATTTCCCAGCCTTGACCAGGTGCAATCACAGAGTGAGAATTCTGAACCAGGGTTCTGAATTATATATTCCCTGGTTCTATCCGCTTGAGAAATGACTTTTGCAAATTGGAGATTTTGCTCATCTAATATTACATTGGCATCCGAGATATGCAGAGCCTGATACCAAGCGTTTGTTGAGAAAGAGTCATCCCTCAGATTCACAAAATAACCAGTATCCATACTATATTGATCTAACCAATATAAGGAGTGAAATTCAGTGGTCAAGATGTGGATTAACCAGTCAACTCTTGACCAAAAATTTGCATTTCTCTCGTTAATGAGCATGGATTTCAACCTAAGGTGATATGACTCAATTGCAGCAAGGGGCTCTGGACTGGCCACTGGAAGGGAACGTATACTAGTAACCCACAAATCTGCAAGACAAGAAAAGCGTTGAGATCAATGTAACAGATCAAAATGCCTCTGAAGGCCATGACCTCATAACCAGATTAGTTAATCTTCACTTAAAAAGGCACTTCAAGAATTCATATTTATAAGGTTGGCCTATTTGATATATGCAGGTAGTGAAGCTAGCAAAACACTACTTTCAGGGGGTAATGAGCGCAGGACCAGCCCATTGGAAAAAAAAGACATTTATAAATTCACCAGCTGATAGAACTTAAAAGAGTTAAGAGTTGGAAAAAGAATAATGGCTATTATACTAACTATTGCAAAGTAACAAATGTGACCAAAATTTAGTATCTATGCAAGAGATCAATTATTACTTTTTTTTTTTGGTATAAAAACAACTATTATTGCAAGAGATCATGACAACTTTCAATTCATGTGATAGACAGTGAATACCAATAATACTAAGCATGAGCAAAATATAAATCTGGAGCAAAGTTTAGGACACTAAACTCAATTTTGATTGGTCAATTGTACATATATGGTCAACAACTTTAGGCTTCACTTCAGGTGGCCAACAGGGGAGACAAAGAAATAGCTTTCTTTCCTTGCAACCAAAGATATAATACACATCAAGAGGCCTCCAAACCTTTTCTGGGGCAAACAAAATTAAAGCATAAATGAGTACACACCTATATATGGTAACCATCTGCTCTTAAAATAATCCATGAAGGCACATTGATCCACAAAAACTTGCATGAATTCTTCAACTGTCTCCACACCATTTGGCCCGCTTCTAGAGGAATACAAAATCCAGCCCAAGTGCTTAAACATCTCTCGTTGCACATCAAGATTGTGGCATTTCTTTAGAAGGTTTCTTATCCAAGCATGACGAACATGCCAGATACATAGTAGGACCCGACATTGAAAATTCTCTCTGCAAGTAAGATCTTGGCATTGTATCGCCCTTCTTTAAGAAAACAATTTATTGGAATACATTTGAAAGCCCACTGAAAAAAAGTTTACCTTATTGTTGAAATATCAAAAGAAGGGTCATCCACCAAGAAGGCATTAAGTCGCCATCTGGGGTCCTTGGTTCGGATTCTTTCAGCAAGGGGACCAATCCATTTATGGATATATTGACCAACAAAAGAGGAAGTAATGATCCAGGCAACTGGAATTGCATTTTGGGACAAGTCAAATATGACTAAAGTGGACAGGGGATACTGTCAAATGAAAAAAAAGAAATATTAAGTATTCAATCAATAGCAATTAATTCAAATGTGGCAAACATAGTACTGTAACATAGAAAAACCAATTCTTCCTGAAAATCTATGCATAATGACAACAGAAACAAAATGTATGGTCAAATAAGATGATTCAAACTCTTCAATTTCAAATAACGTGTACAATATTAGGAATCTAAAACATAACATAATTTCATAATTCTGAATTTGGGAGGAAGACTATTTATTATTCTTCTTTATTATCTAAGTTATATCTTATGATGCTAATGATTGCAGAGTCATGACCAGACATAATTTTCAAATGATCCCCGTATAAGCAACAAAAGGGTCAAGGAAGCATTAAGCATAAGAAAGCAGAGTACCTTTAGTTTTTTCAAGCCAAAAGTTGAATGGGAGGCTATCAAACCATTATTTCCATAATGAAGCATCTGCTGCAGCTGCCAATCTGTCTGTATCCCCAATATAAATGGTTCTGAAACAGAGTAATCTTGGAAGAAAAAAACATTCTTCTGATGCCGCTGCACCCACATTCTTACACTACATAAATCATCTGCATGTAATTCATGAGAAGTATTTCGAATGACTCTTTCCATGTTACGAACATCATTTCGAGTGAGAAAATCATCACGGTTGTGGGGGCCACCATGTCCCTGCACTAATTCCATGTGATGCTGAATTACAGTGTCCAAAGATATTCCAACATAAAGCATAGACATCACTTTTTGACGTAAATCCTCCGAGATTCGGGGAGCATACATAGCTCTTGTCCCTAAGGCATCCCTATCAAGCAACCCATGACATGGGGCCCCTGTTTTGTCTACATGATTTCTTTGATTATAAATAATCAGCGCAAGGAGAGGGCGGGTATACAACCGCTTCACAGTAAAATGGCAAAGGCAACCTCTCATCATGTGACGTCTCCCAGGCCTACTCCCTTTCCCAGTTGCAGGTTTGATGTTTGAGCCATCTGCATTGCTGGACTCACTATCCCGGTAGTCTTCAGGACCATAAGAACACCAGTATCTGCCAAATTAACATGATAACTACTATAACACTCAGATATAATTTAGTTTAGAAAACTACTTGAATGCAATTAAGGGTTATGATGTTAAAATAATTCATTCCAAATGTTCAAGTCATGTATTATTGTGTATGAGTGATAGGATTTTGAGGGAAACAAATACACATTTTGCAGCAACGTCCACTGTTGATCACCTAATTAATAAGACTCCTTTCCATAACTGTTAACAAATAGCAAATCTCAAAATCAAAACCAAACAGCACCATTTATACATTGGTCGTCATTTAACAACCAATTAAAGAGAGAAAAAAAGCATACTAAAACGGTCCAATCAAGTGCCATGTAAACAACATACAATGTATATTCAAGATAGCCATCAACCCTTGGTTTACTTATGCTCCCTTCAGATCTTTTCCTCCTTGACTCAATGCGGAAGCGAGCCGGGCATTCTGCATTGAGTGATTCTCCTTTCACAAAATCATCCACTCTAGCAAAAGGAATTAGAGCAATATCATCCCCACCTTGACGACCACCTTCAACTTTTACCCACTTTATATGAGCAGCAGAAAACTCTGAAAAAGGAGGATCTTGCACCGGAAGGTTAAGAATGTCCTCCATTCTCGGCATCTGCAATTCAACAGATGAAACAAAAAAGAACAGTAAAACATATAGGTAGTCAAAGAAAACTTAAGCAGATAGATACCAAACATCATAGACTAATAAACCCTAAGCTAATTATGCAATGTCATTTCCTCCACGAAAGAACTTATCCATGAAAACTTAAAATTTGAACTTAGCAATTTAGCATAAAAATTATTCTAAATTGGGATTACATAAACCTAAGGAAGGTAAGGGAAGTCTTGGGATTCCGTGCCCAACAAAATGTAGACAATCCTCCTGCTAAGATTAATCTAAAAAAGCTCTCAAAGTAGGGATTTGATAAGAGTTTTACTTGTTGCATTTTCAAAATTTTGTATTCCAATTACCGATTTGTTGAAAATTTTCGAACCTGAACTTTAGCAAATAAAGCACAGCACTTAATGTAAAGACTCGAAGTGCATTTAAAAGTAAAAAATGAAACAAAGCCCAGCATAGAAAATTAAAAGATCATCAAATATTGGTCGTGTAACAAAAATATTACCTTAGTGTCGTGGCCCTTCATGCTTCCTTTATAAAGTGCTGAACTTAATCTTCCTGCAACGATGAATTAAGAATTAAAGCACATATTAGAAAATAAAACACGAAAATTAGCAAAATGAAAATCAAGTTCAAGAGAAGAAGCTAACTTCAGTATAAGCAGAAACCCACAAGTACCCTGAAAGAAATGAAAGGGATGGAATTGGAAAGTAGGAGGAAATGAAATTCAAGAACTCAAAGGAGAAATTGATTAACAAGAGCCATTGTGAGAGGTTGATTCAAAGGGTTTCTGATTTCTCCAAGTTCAAATATATGGAACTCTTCCGAGTTCTGACAGCGATGGAACAAGGTCAATTTCAATTTCCAACTACAAATTTGTTGTTTATTTAGTTACTTTTTTACAGTTTGCCGCCGGTGATGAAATTTGGGCTTGCAATTGATCATGACTCAAATAGAAATCGACCCAATTTGAGTCCAACCCAACTTGACAAAAACAAGGTTAAGATTTTCTAAAAGGCCCAATTGTTAAGGTCATTTGACCAAAGATCTCATAAAAAATACCTTCTGGCTAGTGGCTTCTGCAGATTATGAAAGGGCACTAAAGAAGTACGAATTTTTTAATTCATCAACCCTTCGATTATGAGTAGGTCATTTTCACATACACCGTTAATACTTAATGCCATCATACAAGCATCATTTTCAATGGTATATAATGAGGAAATGTAGCGCATATTCGAGTTTTAATTTAAAAACTCCAAGTAGTTTATGAACAAATACTGATGCCCTAAAGTAAAGGGATTATGAGATTATGGCATATATAATATGAGTTAACGACTTTTTCCCACCCAAATAATGACTTAATGACACTTTTTCACTCATAAACTTTTAAAATATCATTTTACTACTCAAATTTATATTTCAATTGCGAACAGAAAGTAAACCTAGTTCAGGCTGTTAAGGCTTTTGAAGAGGGGGGGCCGATGAGTTCTTTAATGGTAGAAGGTTGGATTTTAGTGGTTGAGATCGATCGAAATTTGACTTGGGAGAGGTGGCTGCGCAAACCCTAATCGTTTGATTACCGAATATTAATGAGGTCGATAGGAGTAGAGTTGAAGGGTTTTAGTGAGTGATGATTGAGGAAGAAAGTGATGTTGGTGTGAGCTCACAACGATGTCGGAATAAAAAACGGAATATAAATTTGGATAATAAAGTGGTATTTTAAAAATTTGTGGGAAGGAAAGTGTCATTAACTCATTATTTGGGTGGGAAAAAGTTTGTTTACTCTATATAATATATAATAGTTTTGGAAAGTCAACAAATTGGATGGTTTTTATATGCCCTTATTTTGGCAACATGGAATTTTGATTTGACTTTTCTAATACGTAATCCCCCAGTTAAGGCCGCGTTCAATCCTGATAAGATTCCCAAGTTGTTTTCATAATTGCTAACTCCAAACACGCAACGCAGTAACAGAGTTCATAAATTATATTTCACCATCTATTTTTTTAAATACTACTTCAAAATATCTAAAAATTCCACCCAACAAAATTAGGGAATGAATTCGCTTTCTATTTGAGTAACGATTCCCCACAAATAGTAGCACACATTCACTTAGCTTTGCAAGTATAAGGCGAACCACATTCCTTCACATTCTCCACCTTTGAATGTCTAGTCTACCATGGACTCCCCAAACCAACAAATCCCAAATCGCCAAACCACTGAAATTTCACCTGAAACCACCTCAAATATTTCTCCAACAATAATCATAGGCAAAGTTAGAAACAATCTGGCGTTTAGATCCAAATGGGCTGAAGTAAATGGTGCAATGGGGGACTTGGGCACTTATATTCCTATAGTTTTGGCCTTGACACTAGCCAAGGATCTTAACTTAGGCACCACATTGATATTCACTGGTATCTACAACATTGTCACTGGCGCCATATATGGCGTCCCAATGCCAGTTCAGCCCATGAAATCAATTGCGGCTGTGGCCATATCAAATGGTTCAGATTTTAGTATCCCAGAAATTATGGCAGCCGGGATTTGTACCGGTGGGATTTTGTTGGTTTTAGGAGTCACAGGCTTGATGCAACTAGCTTACAAGGTTATTCCTTTACCTGTTGTTAGAGGAATTCAACTCTCACAGGGGCTTTCATTTGCTATGAGTGCTGTTAAGTATATAACAAAAGTTCAAGATTTTTCCAAGTCAAAATCTAAAGGGGATAGGCATTGGTTGGGGTTGGATGGGCTGGTTTTGGCAATTGTATGTGCTTGTTTTATAATAATTGTTAATGGTGCAGGTGAGGAAAGTGATGATGAAAGAGAAAGTAATGATCTTGAAGAGAGGCCAAGGCCAAGGAGGAGAAAGTTGAGGAAAGTTATAGCTTCACTACCTTCTGCTTTTATTGTATTTTTGTTGGGTGTGGTTTTGGCATTTATAAGAAGGCCTGAGGTGGTGAAAGATATTAAATTTGGACCATCTTCAATTGAAGTTGTGAAAATAACCAAGCATGCATGGAAACAAGGATTCATCAAGGGGACTATCCCTCAACTCCCTTTATCAGTATTAAACTCAGTGATTGCTGTATGCAAATTGTCATCTGATCTTTTTCCAGGAAAGGACTTTTCCGCCACTTCGGTTTCAGTGACGGTAGGGCTAATGAACTTAGGAGGGTGTTGGTTTGGAGCCATGCCATGTTGCCATGGCGCCGGAGGACTAGCTGGGCAGTACAAATTTGGAGGAAGAAGCGGCGGGTGTGTGGCACTTCTCGGTGCAGCCAAATTGGTGATGGGCTTGGTTTTGGGAAGTTCATTGGTAATGATTTTGGATCAATTTCCTGTTGGGGTATTGGGAGTTCTACTCTTGTTTGCAGGGATTGAACTAGCTATGGCTTCCAGGGATATGAATTCAAAAGAGGAATGTTTTGTTATGCTTATATCCACAGCTGTTTCACTAGTGGGCTCCGGTGCAGCACTTGGCTTTGTGTGTGGGATTGTTGTGCATGTGCTTCTTGAGCTCAGAAGGTTCAGTGGAGATCAGTCTTGTTCTACTATACGGATTCGTGGAACTCCATAGTAAAATCCCAGAACTGTTCTGAGTTGTTTTAAAGTGTTCATGGCTGCTATTTGTTTGTACTGTTGCTGTATGGATAATTATAAAGCAGTGTTAATGTTAAGCAGACACTGCAGATTCCAGAAATATTGAACATCATGATAGAAATAGAGAACTACCAGAATGAATTTTTATAATTAATTAATATCTGAACTGACTGATTTGTATGTGGTTGTGAATGACTGAATGGTACTAGACAATAAGGAAGGAATACTGATGACATAGTTATATACATATACCCATACATCCAAGCAAATCCAAATACATGGCAGATTCATTAGCTGTTTTCAGAACCTGTTTAGTCCCTGCTTGGGCCATTGTTAGCTAACGTTAACGCTAACCTTCCGACTCCATCGCCAGTTTATCTCTGCATCCTATCATGTTTGGAATGTTCACTCATGTCAAACAATCTGAAGGATAGTTGGAATACCTTGCCAAAGAAAACAAGTATGGTTCATACTACACCAAGATAATTTACGTATTTTGCTTCTATCTTGTAACTAATAAATACAAAGTTTCTCAGTTCTAACAGGCAAAAAGAGTTGTAGTACTGTCAAGTAATCTCGATGATGATAGCAGTTTATCAAGGGATGGCAACCCCAAACTGAGCAGTAAAGAGACAATAAACTCACAAGGTGGTAACCATAACGAAAAGTTCACAAAGAATACCATGAACTTTGAAAGTATAAATAGCTTCATTTGCAATGATCACTTCAATGCTTCTTGCTTATCCTCTGAATGTTCTTCTCCTCTTGGCCAGAGGTCAGAAGATACCACCAATTCAGAGATCTGATTTCGTTTGTTTGCCAACAGAAGATAAAACAGCCACTTCCTATAGATGCTTGGAACCCAAAACAGTAAATGACACTAAATTTGTAAGTAATTATAGTCTTTCTGATCCTCTATCCAAATGGATTTCCTCCCATCGAAGAAAAAGAATTTGTTGTGCTAGGTAAAGAATATCCGCCAGTTGGTAGCTGTGGTGTGATTGAGGAGCCCAAAACAGCAAAATCACTGCTAAAACCATCAACTCTGTGTGGTCTGCAATGAAACTCAAGAAAACTTAAAGAGTCAAATACTGTTGATAGAGCAGATTTTATAAAAATATATATAGAGCATGCTTCTATAACAAATGTTAGTAAGCATAAGCCCCCATTTCTATGAATAGAACACGTATGAAAGAACTGTAATTTTGAGACTTTATTAATCCCCAAATTCAATAGTTAAAGATGCAGTATCATCTTGATAAAAAATTTCAGAGAAACCAAATGATGGCATTCGGTGATCCTTTAAACATAAATGTAGTCTCAAATTGAGCGGATTTAGTTCAAAGGAAAGAATAATTAGGTCAGATATGAAGAAAATGTTACCTTGAAGATGCCATATTTGTATGTACTTGTTGCCCCGTAAATGCACCTGCAATGACAGAAGTTTAACAACAAACCAAAACAGGAGTAATATTACTCATACAAATTCATCTTACAAAGATTAACATACAAAGTGATATGTCAAAAAGTTAATAGAAAAATAAATACAAACTCATTATATTCACTTTATCATTCATTTTTTATTATATCATTTTCTATACATATCTTTGTAAGAGTTTTTTGTATTTGTAGTATTATTAAAACAGTAAATGTTTAGCAAAATAGAGGATGGCAAAATGAATTCACTTGGAGACACATGTGATGAATAGGAGCTGGATTGTGGGTGCATGGCGGATGCATAAGATGATGATTGTGGCATCATTAACCCCAGAGAATGAGCACCGGCATTTGAGGGATGCAGTAAGCTCGCATTAGGAAGTGATCCTTGCAGAGACGCCATGGATGGAAACTACATAGCAAATAACAAAATTTTTAAGGTTTAAACAAGTTTTATCTGTTTCAATTTAAAATTTTAAAATTAGATAAACAAAAGCTTTGCAGGAGCATTAAACAAGTAAAAACAAAAGTTTTTACCAATAGATTTCTATTCTTCAAATGGCAATAATTCATTGGAACGAAGAATTTTATAGAAAATTTTCTCATGATGTTACAAATTCGGATGGGCACCATTCCTTAACAACCACTCTGCAAGATCTATATTTGCCTTTTTCATATTGATTAATGATCCATATTTAAATCTTAGCACAATCGCATAAATCATCAAATCCATAAGCCTCAAGGTTTACCTCTTGCAAGCAGAGGTATGATTAATAGTCTCGGTTGCATTCATTACTGAGATCAGATGTTAGGGATATTTTAAATATGTCAATCATTTTCTGTGTAACACAAGCAATATCAGTTTGAATATTGGGCTTACTGCTGGCACTTGCGTTTGAGCTGTTTCACTGTGAACGTCAAATGGGTTTGTGGATTTTGATTGGTTGGGATAAGCTGGCATAATCTGTAAACATAGACCCAGGGTGACAGATCAGTACTTTGATTATCTTAATCAAGAATTCATGAAGCACTTATTTAACTAATCAAATTTTTGTATAAGTACCATTGGATTAGAATAGTACTGCATGTTGTATCCCATCGTATAGGGGGTACCAGTTTGCCAGTGAGGAACTGATGCAGGGCCGTAGCTTGCAGTAAAATAGTCCTGCAAAGAATCAGATCCACATTATTAAAAGAATTAAGAAATTTCAGAAGTAATTTTTATAAGACAAGGCGACCACCGCTGGCAGTTCCTTTCTTCCAATAGACTTTGTTTCCACAGGAACAAGCTCGGAACCAACTCTGGAACTGGTGTCTTGGATTGCTATTGAGACAGTTTCAGATGACTGTTCAGCGGAAGCTCCAGCAGGTCCTTGATTGTAAGGTACAAGTGCCGATAACCATGGCTGCAGATGCACAAGGAGCAACAGGTTTATGAAATTTTCATCTTTTTGGTATAACTATTTTCGAATTGAATATTAAATATCTGAGATGTAGAAAAACACTTGTGTGAATTACTGGGACCACAGTGTATCACAATCCTTGACAATTGGGTATTTTCGTTAAAAAATATGATAATTTCACTCGAAGAAAAACAATTTGAAAGATTAAATTTTACATTTTAACAAAAAATTTGAAGAAAAGATGTATTTTGTGTTCATTCACTTCGACACAGAGATGAGTATAACAACTTGCCAGAATTCCTCGAGGTTTTGTGACATTACAGTTACTGGATACCTCTAGAAGGTTAAAGCTAAAATCCACGAAAAATAGCTTTATTTATTATTTAAACATACTCTTATATCTTTAAGACAAAAAGTTATAAATTTCATGATGTCTTTTCATAAGAAATATTTTCAAATTAACTCCGACACTGACCTGGTTATTGACATCTCCAACGGGTGTAGCAGTCTGCTGTGCAGAACTTCTACCATCTGCAGTAGAGGTTGGCAAAGACTGACATGACTGCATGCTGCGTAATTGTTGCCCATCAGGAGCTCTGACAGTGGGTTCATCTTTAATATCAGGTGCTGCCTGTGGAGGACATGCATGCAAAGGAGAAACTGGCACAGTGGTGGTGGAAGCAGTTAGAGAGTCACCAACACTAACTAATGCCATGTTTCCTTCAGATGGATTCACCAACATATTAGCAGTTGAGGCAGCTGAAGAAGTACCAAAACTATTGGGTAATGTTGACATCTGTCCTAATGGAGAAGCTGATGAAGCACCAGAATCCCCATATGGTTGCAAAGCCATATTGGTTATTGATGCAGGTGCAGAAGCCATAAGGTCACCCATTAAAGGCACAGCTGATGAGATACAACCTTCAGGCATGTTGCCTACAGATCCATCTGAAGGAGCATCATCATTGTTTTGTACAGCCAGGGGAGCTGCCAATTCAAATATTAGAAATTCCAAAGTATTCGGCATTGGGGATGTCTTCGTTGCCTCTTTGGCGGAAGGTACAGTCTGGTTGCCGCCATCACTAGGAGTAATTTGCTGTGTTTGCGGTGCTACTACTGCAGCATCAGGAGGCTCTGGATCTTGGTTGATATTGATCAAGCATTCTGATTTCTCATTTTTATGTTCCACTAGATTCCCATCAACAGGAACCATACTACAGGAGGGTGCATTTTCCATTTGATTCCCATCTACACTCAGCAGATCACGGAAGGGTGCGGTCTTCTGCAAACAGAACAACTAATATGATAACCACCAAACAAAAGAGGGTATGATAAGCTCCGATACCAACATAAATACAACAACATTTAAGCAGCAGATAATTGGAATGGAACGTAAATGAAAATCTCCAAGCATATGCAGAAAGTTTAACATTATATCTTCCAGTTATACATTTAGCGGTCAGCAATCAGAGCTAAATAAGGGCAAGTACATGCACAAAACGGTACAAAAAGGAAAGCTGATCCGATGAGTTTCATACTGTGTCATCTTATTTGATTCCTGTAGGGGACTTGGGTATTTTGGATGAAAATAACAGCCATAATTGTCAAAGATATGCAAAAAAACACATAACAAGTCCAGGCCTTGAGAGGGAACATATTGACCAAAATGCATCTCATCAAAAGAAACACATAAACTCAGAACTTCAAACACATATCTACAATTATATTGACACACCTGATTGTTAGCAGAACCTTCAGGATCCTTGCCTTCAATTGCCATTGAACGTGGCCCCACTTCTAGTGGAGGAGTACTTTCACCTAAAATTTCTTTGATAGGCCGTACCACCAAGGCTTTGGAGCTATTCTTGTTTGTTTGACTGTCAGGAGACCTGCTCTCAGACCTGTAATCTCTATTTGAAAAGTTGCAGCTCTCAGTTCGTCTGCCACTTCGAGATGAGCCATCTCGAAACCTGTTATCAACAATCTCAATGCGGACAGGAGTTTTTCGGTAACCTCCAAATCTTGGAATTTCCTGGTTACTACTCTCATCATGATAATATCTGGAATTTCTGTCATCACTTCTTCTACCAGGATGACATCTTGCACTAGAAGAATGTTCATATCTGCTACCATAACGTGGACTTCTAGATTCACCACGATACCCACCAACCTTCCTGCTGTTTTCATAGGCATCCTCATTTTCACCCTAATGAAGACAAGAGCTATTAGCAAAAGGAGGCATAGTCGCATAGATAATTGAAGGTAGAAGCTCCAAGAACTTCAGCTGTTCCTACAATACTAAATTAATATGGTCTAATTAATTTACCTTTTTTTTTAATTATTTTTTTGAGATATTATTGTTGGCAACACTTTCAACACAACAAAGCCATAAAATTAAACTATAAAGAGCACTGCATTTGCATTATAGGTACTAATAGGGAGTTTACCAATCTTAGCCTTGGAGGTGTTTCACTCTTCTCACCAGTGTACTTTCTATCCACATAGACGTGCTTGATAAAATCCCGGAGTCTGTGAAGATTACTGGAAGCAAACATGTGAATCAGAAGAAATTCCTTATGCAGTGTTCCAAACTAAAAAAGAAGCAATGCACACAATACCTGCCGTCAGGATAAGAATTACGGTAAGGATCCCAGCCCTTTAAATAAATTTGCCTTGCTCTCTATGACGAGAAAAAGAAAACAAAAAGGAAGTCCATCAAGCAGATAGGAAAAATAAACGACCATAAATTGCTATTATGTAAGGATGGAAACCTCATTCCCTGCTGCTTGAAGAGCACTGACTTCTTCTGCACTAAATTTAGCCATTGATATTGATTTCACACGATGTGTGAATTCCCGACTGTCATTTTAGAACACATATATAATCAACATAAGTGTCTTTTCTTCTAAAATCATATCATGAAGAATATCATTATGATTATATGCACCATGGCTTAAATGCTGAAACTATAAGAAAAAACTACTAAAAAGAAGTAAGAACTTATGTCAACACTTACTGAACTCCACTGCAGTTTGTGCAAACAAAGGTCAAGAATGTTGTGCAAACATATTGAGGTCCCTGATAACAAGAAACATATTAGACCTTTTGCATAGTCTAAGTTTCCATGAAATTGATTTCTTATTAAACACCCTATGGTTCATTATGCCATGTTTCCGCAAATCATTGGTTTGTATGCACATCTAGAGTAAAAATAAAACATTCAATCAATCATAAAATGACAATAATGCAGTCAATTAAAAAGATGACATAGAATTATAATAAAAAAATGCTTTAAGAGGTAAAAAGAATTAAAAAGGAAAAAGGCTATACCAAACTATTGCAATTGATACATCTTCGATTCTCCGGAAGCTTCATGAGACCTCGAATGATCCCTTCAATCCTCTCGTCTTCCTTAATTCGATTAGACGTCTTCATTGAATTAACACCTATTTTATCCAACAAAAAAAGCAATATTTAACAGGATTATGAGAAGTTCCTCAAAAAGATAACTTATTTTTTTGAAAAAATAGAAAAACGAACTAAACACAAGATTCATCATTTTTCTGTTCTTTCGTTTTCTGAGCAACCAAACGGAGAGTAAACAGACCTTAAGCAGTAGTAAACAGGAACTTTAGAGAATAATTTGAGCACAGAAACCCTCAGAATGTAAAATATGAGAGAAAATGAAGATAGGTAGGCGAGGTGAATCGTAGAAAATTGGAGGGATTGCACTAGATAGACGAAATGAATCGTAAAGAATTGGAGGTATTGCACGACTCAGAGGGCGACATGCGTACAAAAGAAAATTGATGATGAGAATTAAAGAGAGAGAAAGAGAGGTTACAAGAAGAGCGAAAGAGAGAGAAACTTGGCGGTAATAACGGTAAGGTGACCGGTTTTAGACCGTTGGAACAATTTGAAGGCAAAGGAGGGAGCCAACGAGATTTTCTCGTGTACAATTTTTAAAGTTAATAAATGGTTATGTTTGGTTACGGGTGGTTATATAGCTTTGACCCGGTTTCAACCCGAACAAGTTTCTGTTCACCGATACACGATTATACCCATGCCAGCAATTTTCCACGTTCACTTCTCGATTACTGTCTTACTGAACAATCATTAGAGCATTGCATATTGGTAATTTTTCATTTTTTTTTTAAAATAAACAATGTTATTTCATATTTTTTTTTTTTTTTTTTTTTTGTTGTTGTAACAATATTATTCTCTTTATTTTTTTTAAATTTATTTAACTAAAAATCTCTCCATGGATTTATACATAGAGTAAACGACATATTCCCACCCAAGGTTTGACGAAATCCACCGTTAGTACTTCAGGTTATATTTATTCTAGATTCTCACCCTTAAAGTGACTGAAAAATGTTTAATGTAACGATAAAGGGGTAAATTGGTCATTTTACATAGGCGGCACACATTAGTAGACCATCGCTTCTAACAATCCTTCAGCGCACGTTAGCAGATGGCGTCCCTGACGTTTTTCGCCCTTTTTCCGACGATTCTTCCACCCAAAATCACCCTTGTCATCACCATTTGAATCCTCATCCTCCTCTCTACAAAACCATACCCTTCACAACCCCTAATCACTCGTCGATCGTCGGCAACGGTAGCAGCGACATGCGAATGGTTTTTGCTAGTTTTCGGCAGTTTTGAATGGCGAAAACCCCAACCACCATTTGACTCCTCGCATCCTCCCCTACAAAACCCCTAACATTCCCAGCCACGGTAGCTCACCGTTTGCTGTCCACCACTTCCCTGAAAAACTTTCGATGAACACGAACTCTTGGCTAGCGAACAGCGACGAAACGGTTGCTAGGGACATAACGGTTTTATAGATTTGGAGACGATGGTTGCAGTGGTGCTGTCTAATTGGATTTTCGCCGCTGGAATCCAGTGAAGAACACTGAAACCTTAAGCCAAACGGCGCCGACAATTGTAGGGGCCAATGAGTCGGGAACCAGAGGGGTTTTGGACGACGGACTACGGGGAAGGTGATGGAGGTGACCACGGAGTTCGACGCCATCGGAAACAGCCCAGATCGGGCTGTTTCTGACGAGGGTGTGTAGTGAAAGAGAGTGTTTTTGACATAATTTGAAAATAAAATTGTAAGTTTTATAATTCTACTAATTTAGGGGTTAAAACATAATTTATTAATTTAGGGTTAAGGGCATTATAGTAATTGCACCCTCTAAACCCTAAAAATTGCCAACACTGTTATTTTAAGAGTGGGAATTTAGAATAAATATAACCTGAGATACCAACTTATTATTTCGTCAAACCTTTAGTGGGAATATGTCGTTTACTCTTTATACATACGAATTGCAGGGTATGGCATAAGGCTGCAAGTTTTAACAATACACTGTTTTTACTTTTTAGTACTAGAAACTTGATATTCCAACAATTTTCCATAGCTTAGCACATACATAATGTTTTTGTTGGTGGTGGGATGACTATCATAATGTTAAGATTTGTTGAAATTGGGAGATGGGACATCATGAAGGAGTCGTCCTTTTAAACAGTCAATAGAATTGCATTTCACTACTTTAATCAGCGAGTTTCATAAGAAGTGATTGTTACCACGAAACAGAACAGACACCTCTGCCATCACATGGTAAATCATGGACGCCAAAAATGCTTGCTATTTGTTAAACAGCTAACCAATAGAAGGTAATCATAAACTGCATACAGGATTCTACATTAACAGTGAATTAGATTGTCCTACTAAAGTTAGGCACATTACTGAAAACTAGTAGTATTTTTAAGCCGAACTTAATAAAGATTTAAGCAATTAAGATTTTTTTTTTTTTTTTTTTTTTTTATGACTAAAGGTGTTTAAGTCAGTTTACACGTACTTCAACTAATCTTCTAAAACTTTAAAATTATCAACCGAGTAAAAACTCTAGTAACTATCTTTACTAACAATAAAGAAAAGACTCGAATTTAAGATTTTTTGAATAATATATTTAAGAGTTCTTATCGAACCACTCAATCATCGAAAGATAGTTTAAGCTAATAAGATTGTTATTCTCATATTACCCACTAGATATACCGAGATTCTCCTATGTTTAACATAAGACAGGTTCTATATAGGATAGCAAATCAACCCGGCCCAGTCTTTCATCCATAGCACGCAAAGCCATGGTCCTGGACTGTTTAAAGGCTACTAGGTCCGAGTCGGTATAAGTATAAACTATAAAATTCAAAAACAATCCCAGCAGTCATAACAGCCTTCCGGCCCTCGTCATCAAACTTCTTGAGGCCAAAAACTCTTGTTAGTCACACTAACAATGATAAAAGAGTTCTGCCCATCAGCCTGCAACATCACGATAGCATGTCCAGTGGGAGCACTGCACTCACAACTCAACTCAACACGACAGTCTCCGGAAGCCCCAGTTATCAATTTCCCATGGCCATATTTCACCCACTTGGCCCAGAAAGCAAGTGTTATTTAAAAGCTTCGTCCCACAAGTTGCCTGTTTGACGCCTTTGCGAGTCTGGCCGTTCTTGGCAAAGATTATTTTTGCTTCACATGGCAGTCCGTCTGTTGATTTCTACAAAAATGGAGCATTGGCTGGGCCAACGACAGTCTACAAGGTCGGATCTTGGTGAAATTTGGGCGTCGTTGGACCCCTTTCTTATGGCAACTGATGAGAACGAGTAACAATCAGAGACTTGAAACCGGGTTGTAATTTGTTAGAATTTCTCCTTTCATGGTTGTAAATTTGAGATTTTATATTGATTTGCTCTGAAATGGCCTAATTTTGCATCAACATTCTCATCATTTCATTTCAAGACTAGCAAATATGCTCATCAAATCTGTCCGGATCTGTTGAACAGGTATAAATGACCCGGGTCAGTGCCCGAGTCTTGATCCACATTTTAAATGCCCACGCCAGGATTTTGGCATCCCTAGTTCTAGAGCTTCTTATTTCTGTGCGTAACCACAGATGAAATCAAGATGGCACAATCAACAAAAGCATCTTCAAAGTTATCTATTGCTTGAGAAAGCCAAAATTTACTGTAATGTGAGGGGGGGAAAAGGAGAGGAAAAAGATACTAAGCCACTAATGAATCTATATGAAAATTTATAAGAAATTACTTACAGCATTATCTCTCCTCTATTTCAGATATGCGATCTGGTTGGTACATATCTGGCAAGTGCTCCAACATTCAATCAGATAGGGACTTGTAATTTGATTTGATAGGGTGTTGTATTATTTGGACCAACTGCTACTTCCAACATCAAGGTTAAGGGGGCAAAGGAACAACAAAAAAAAGAGGGTAAAATAAAATCTATACAAAGACTGGCAGCCAAAATTCCTTACACCCCTCACCTGCAGGCTATATACAACAGTTGCAGTGAACTGAGTAAACCTGCTGCTTGAACAAAAAAAATAGTGGGTAGACAAATTGTGACATTGCACACCAGAGGTCTAGAACTGCCACGATATGTGGCAGCAAGCCAAAATTCTTCTCGACGCGAACCCTCCTGCCATTGACAAGGAAACAACCAGATCCATCCCAGCAATAACAATGCCAACTATATTTGATTCTTAGGCAGCAGAACTGCAAGTTGAAGGGGGCTGGCGGGTTTTCTTCCCTCAACATCTCATCTCATTTGCTCATTCTACCCATCACTATTTACGTCATCAAAAGAAGCTTTAATCGCTTCAGCAATCATGAGGGCACTCACAGCCTTGCTAATTGCTAAATCAGCTCTATAAAGCAATCTCTGAGCCTTTTCTCTCTTGAGTTTAGCCATATTATGCGCATGCCGAGCTGCACCAGATGCATCACGCAGCCTGAACTCATCAAGATCAGAACCATCCAATTGTCCTGGGCCATGCCTCTGGGACCCATCTGGGTGTAAATGTCGTTGGCTTGGCCACTCAGAATAGCCCATATTCCACCTATGAATTCCATTTCTCTTGCCCATCAGCCGTTGGTTGTATGGAGCCACCATCTGTGTGTCATATGAGAATTCAATCGCCCCATATTTCTTTGACTTGCTCCTCTGAAGTCTTTGGTATTGATGTCTATCAAACCCATCACCGCTCATGGAGAAATAACCGATGCTGCCTGCATCATGTGGTGAAAATACTCTTGGAGAAAATACCCTTGGTGATGTCTGAGACAATGGAGAATCATCTAAAGATTCATAGTTGAGTCCTGTATATAAAACCTTTTCATCCCCAAAAGCAAACCCACTTAATCTCCTTCCTGGTGCAGCAAATAACATCAGATTAACAAAAGGCAGACAACACTAATGAAACCAAAAAGTTATTAAGTTGGTAAATATTTGAAAGGGTGCAAAAAGTTACCAAAATTATGAAATCCATCATGATCTCCCATGGCTACATTGCTTTGCCCAGAAACTGAAATTTTCCTGTGAGACCTGTGTTTTGAACCCTTGTTGGGCACTTCTAGTCCCCGCGGTTTCAAACAGAAAGCAAACATGAGTGGCTTCTCAATGGGAGCAGCCTTCCCCTGACATCCATTGGGGATGACGTAGTTAGATTTAGACATAGCTACCTCCCACTCTTTCACTTGCTGTTGATATCTTTCCCATGATGGAGGCTGAACAACACCCAAGTTCATTGTATTAAACATCATCAATATGAAAAGTGAGCAACTAATACACATATAAGCACAAAATGCAATAATGATAAACAGCATTCAATTAAACTGCATAGTTAATCAAAGAACAATAAATACCGCCAAAAATAAATGAATAAAGATTCAGCACCAATTAACAGCAAGCCANTCATCAAAAGAAGCTTTAATCGCTTCAGCAATCATGAGGGCACTCACAGCCTTGCTAATTGCTAAATCAGCTCTATAAAGCAATCTCTGAGCTTTTTCTCTCTTGAGTTTAGCCATATTATGCGCATGCCGAGCTGCACCAGATGCATCACGCAGCCTGAACTCATCAAGATCAGAACCATCCAATTGTCCTGGGCCATGCCTCTGGGACCCATCTGGGTGTAAATGTCGTTGGCTTGGCCACTCAGAATAGCCCATATTCCACCTATGAATTCCATTTCTCTTGCCCATCAGCCGTTGGTTGTATGGAGCCACCATCTGTGTGTCATATGAGAATTCAATCGCCCCATATTTCTTTGACTTGCTCCTCTGAAGTCTTTGGTATTGATGTCTATCAAACCCATCACCGCTCATGGAGAAATAACCGATGCTGCCTGCATCATGTGGTGAAAATACTCTTGGAGAAAATACCCTTGGTGATGTCTGAGACAATGGAGAATCATCTAAAGATTCATAGTTGAGTCCTGTATATAAAACCTTTTCATCCCCAAAAGCAAACCCACTTAATCTCCTTCCTGGTGCAGCAAATAACATCAGATTAACAAAAGGCAGACAACACTAATGAAACCAAAAAGTTATTAAGTTGGTAAATATTTGAAAGGGTGCAAAAAGTTACCAAAATTATGAAATCCATCATGATCTCCCATGGCTACATTGCTTTGCCCAGAAACTGAAATTTTCCTGTGAGACCTGTGTTTTGAACCCTTGTTGGGCACTTCTAGTCCCCGCGGTTTCAAACAGAAAGCAAACATGAGTGGCTTCTCAATGGGAGCAGCCTTCCCCTGACATCCATTGGGGATGACGTAGTTAGATTTAGACATAGCTACCTCCCACTCTTTCACTTGCTGTTGATATCTTTCCCATGATGGAGGCTGAACAACACCCAAGTTCATTGTATTAAACATCATCAATATGAAAAGTGAGCAACTAATACACATATACGCACAAAAAGCAATAATGATAAACAGCATTCAATTAAACTGCATAGTTAATCAAAGAACAATAAATACCGCCAAAAATAAATGAATAAAGATTCAGCACCAATTAACAGCAAGTCAAACCAAGTATGACAATCCACATTAAAAATATATATCCTGTCTATTCCTATTTTCGTTTTTGTAAAGGCCTATATCTTGATTCCTGCATCTCTGTCTATATTTGTAAGTGAACCTCTCTTTTCTTGTATCTTCTTTTTCAATTTAGGCAAGTTTTATACATAAAAAGAAAAGATAATAAAATAAATAAATATTAAAAAAAGAACAAAACTACAGCTCTGCCTCAAACTAATAACCATGGACATTGTTCTTCCACTTTCTATTCTTCGGTTCAATGAGTATTTACAAATTGCTTTAAATCATTTACCACAAACCAAACCCTCCAAAATTGATTAATTTGCTTTTCCTTTATGTTTTTTAAAAGATACAGGAACAAGATTGAGTGCATCATCTAACTTGATTTTTCTTACAAGCTTAAATTTTCTCCTTGTTTGTGTTTCTTGGTTCTCCTCTGTAACAGATACATTTCCTAGTATTTAATTTTGGGAAAGGCAGTTCTTTAGTGTCAAAACAAATTCAAGATGTACATATTAAGGTTTAAGTAATTGATATTAAGATTGTTCCAAAAGAAAAAAGGAAATGACCAGCAGTGTCAAACACCTATATTGTATAATGGTAACAAATATGTAACGAAAGCAATTAAGTCATGACAGATAACAGTCAAATTAACTTCCAAGGTACCTGGAGATGTCTGATTAAAGGCATTCCCTTCTTCTGCCTCTTCTGCCTCCAATGCTCATAGATGATTTTAATTGCCTCCATGGAACCACCTCCAGCCATAAGCTCTTCTATTTCATCTGGGGTGAACTGATCCCGCTGTTGAGAATAAGCAGCCTTCTCAAACATGTCCATTGTTTTCTCAAACACCTCCTCGGAAATTTCCCACAAGCCACTGATGTCAGATTCAGAAGAATTACGAATTTCCGTAATCCACCACTCATCATCGCTGTCCATGTCATATAAGATACGCGATGGATCCAAAGCCATCTCAACATCTGTTTCAACCTGCCGAAAGTACTTAGATGAACTGCGAACAAATGCTACTTCAGTTCCATTGTCATCACAATCCTCTATCACGCGAACCCCAGGAATAGGAATATTTTTAACTGAAGCAGCACGAATGTTACGATTGTAGCACTCTTCATGCATCTCCTTAAAAAGAAACCACTGACTCCTATCAGGAAACTCCAATGTCCAATCCTTTCCTCCTTTCCACATCATGGCATGTGTAAAACGATTTGTTGATCCAGGCTGCAGGAACTGATGAGCCTTGTATGAATACCTTGTGGTTCCTGAAAGCTTTACAGCTAGCTTCCATTCACTGTGATCAAAAAGCTCTAGTACAATTTGTGCACCACATTCTCTCCAACCTTTGTCACCATGTGTAATTAGCACATTTGCATCACAACATAACTCCAAGTTTTTTTGGGAATCCCTAGTAGTATCTGATAATCTCTTTTCGTTTGCCCTCCTAATTCTTGTGTGAGGAAGCCCTTTCTGGTTATGGACTCTATTCTTTGAACCATAATCAAACCCTCCGAAAGGCAAGGAGTATGAGACTTGAGTACGTGGTTTCCGAGGTCCATTACCAAAATTATTGTGGGCAATGTCATCCTTCCCATCTGACCATCCTTGATTGAGGTATGCAAATGATGAACTACTTCTATTTCGATTCCATGTGCTTCTAGGAGCGGTCGGATTCGGGCTCGGGATGATGCCGCCATACATGTTCCAACTTAAATCAGTAGAGCGTTGAGCGCTATGGGATTCCCTATCAACATGCCTTTCAAATTGGTTGAACGTTGGAATTTCAACCCTGATACCATTCAAAGGGGAAAGAGACCCAGCATCTGTCTTATCACTGTCAACTGAAGGTCTTGCCAAACAAACACGTTCTAACTTCGGATCATGGAATTGCCATTTCTGCAACCGATCAATTGCCTCACCACCAGTTTCTTCAGGATCCTGGGAACTGGCAGAGGTTCCAGCACCATTCAGATCACCATTTTCATATTTCTGCGGGGATCTTATCCAACGTCCATCAACACAGACAGAGAGACCGACCGCCGGTAACTCAGGTTTGGCAACAGACAAGCACCCATCAGAAACAGCATTCCTTGAGGTACCCTTCACATTATTTTCAAGAGTACTTTCTGATACATTATGTTCATGAGTAGTATCCGGATGTTTGTCCAAGCAGTACTCAAAACCAGTCATCAAAGTAGCAGCGCATTCTGGGTGCTCCACTGAAACATGGCCCTGAAAGCTGATATGATCAGCTCTATGTTCCATAAGCAGCTTAAGATGCAAACTGAGAAAGAAAGAAGGTGCAGCAGTGAAAGAAGGTGCAAATGGAGGAAATTTTCTTTGACTCCTGTCTGGAAAAGAGAAGTGGCTGACTTTTACACAAGTGGATTCCCTGGAGATACCCTGCCTAGACATCCTCCGCAAACCCTAATTAATAGAAAAGCTCATACAAGTTAAAATCGACCCTAAAATCAATGAGAACTGTGCCATTGTGCCTAATTACACCAGAAAAATAAAACTTAGAAATAGTCACCAACACTACAAGACCTAACTACTCCACAGCAAGAGACCGTCTCCAACTAACTATTCAAACCACTAAAATATGAAAGTAAAAGGAACTAAACAATAAATACCAATAAATGCCACAAAGCTCAAACCAAAACAAAATCTTGAATCAATGAGGCAAAGAGAGATGTTATATGGCCAAAAAAAAAAAAAAAGGAAAGATGAAAATGGTACCAACCACCCTCACAAAAAATACACACAAACAGAAATGGAATACCTTGGTTAAAGAGCTGTCCCTGAAAAGAGAAGAATTCATGGATAACACGTTACTCCCATTTTGAAGCGCCTTAATATTATCATAAGTGCATTCCGATAGAGACAATTGCCTAGTAAGCCGGCAATTTTTTTTCAGCTTAGTGTCCAGATACATCCACAACGAATTCTTCACTTCACAGAAATTGTAGAAATCAAAAACAAACTGCTTTCTAAGATCATGAATGCAAGAAAACTTGAACCTGATTGAAGTTTCTGGTAACTGAAGGTCAGCATACTTCCCCTGCTCATTAGGTTGATGGAATACTCTCAGGACGAAGAAGACAAAGGCTACAGCCTGCTTCAAGCAACCTTCAAACAGGAAAAACCTCAGTCCAACTATGTTATCAACAAAAAGAATCTCCAGATTGACACTTGGCCACATTGTCATCAGTGTACCATAGTGAAACAAAAATACAGCCCGGAACAGCCAAAAATTCTCTGCTTCAAATGGGTATTTCAGGACTGAAAGAACCGGGAAGCACATCTTAAACCTCACTTGTCCTGATTCTATCAGTGGTATGGTTAAATTTAAAAGCTCTGTGTTACCAGGGAACCGAAAAGCTCCATATGGGTCCAACATTTTCATACAAATATCACGCTCTCCCAAATCCTCACACCCATCAATGGAAGGGGCAGGCAAAGTAACTGATGAACGTTTGCAACTAGAAACATAATTACCTAAAGACGTTGAACACAACAAGCTTTCTGTCTTGCGAAGCCGCCTTCGGTAATAAACAATGGGAAGTTTGCTATCCTTGGAGCAAGTAGGGCTACCTGAGGAAGACTCCTCGACCCTTCTACCACCAACAAAACTGTCTAGCAATTTAGACGTACTGGGTAATTTGTTATTCTTAGCTTTCAAAGAAGCACTTTGTAAAGAAACATCAGGCTTCACAACTTCATGAGATGGATCAGGTCTTTTCTGTTTCTTCATAGCATGTAAAGGAGAAGATTTTATCCGATTACTAGATCGAGCCAACCATGAGATGATGGGCTCTGTGTCCATGTAGCTACCCATACAGTTATTATTCTCTGTAGTCATATTTCTCTTTTCCTTTTCTTTGCTAGGCTTCAAGCTTCCCTTTTTGTCTTCTAAACCCTTCTCTCTTATCCTGGATCTTCTACATGCACCCTTATCTGGAACTTCGCTAGGAAGCAGCAGAAGTTTAAATCTCTCATTTCCCAGATTAATCCATTCCTCATCCCGATCATCATATTTTACATGATGTAGCTTGCTTTCTTTGTCATAGTCATTCACCAGGCCATAATACCAACACTGATCCAAAGGCCAAAAAACTTTGATTCTCCGGTTCAATACCCAATATGCATCCAAATCTCCAGAGAAAATTTCATAATAATGTCGCCTTTTTCTTGAATGGCCCCTCTCTTTGTGCCGTGTCCTTGGTCGTAATGCTCTACCAGCAGCATCAAATGACGCAGATTCATGACTAGCAAAGTCTTGTTCAGTTGACGACAAAAAAGAAAAGCCATTTGGGGATGCAACGGATTTTCCATTTGACGAGAAACCAGTGTAACTAGGATTGAATCGTGACGATAGCATCATAGCTGCATTTTCCTCAAGATTCTCTTCATCATCTAGCACATCATCACATACCTTAACAGAAGCATCAATTAAAGGTTCAGCTTCCTTTGCAATACTTCTTCGATCCCGGGTGGGATCTTTTCCCTTGCCATGATTCTTCCTTGACTTTTTCAAAGAGGAGTCTCTGTTATTTACAGCTGACTGACTGGCACACCCATCATCCTCCTTCAAACACCGAGCCAAATTTGAATTGCTAATTTTATTTGACTTCTTCGAAGAGTCACCATTGTTCACAACTGAATGACTGGCACACTCACCCTCCTCCTTCAAATGCCGATTTAAACTTGACTCACTTTTTCTGTTTACCTTCTTCAAAGAAGACTCACCATTGCTTACCACTGAATTACTGGCATGCCCAGCACTCTCCTTCAAAAGCCTAGCTGCATTCAACTCGCTGTTCCTCTTTTCCTTAAAGTTATTGGAACCCTTCTTGCGTTTAACCTTTGAACACACAACATGGATACCAGAATCCTTTAAAGACTCAGCCCCGACACCCAAATCTGTTGGAGACTCAACCTGAGTAGCCAATTCCTTTGGAGACTCGATCCTTGCAGCTGAATCACCACTCGTTGCCTTAGCCACCACGTCATCACTCACTTTACTACAAGACTGTCCCGGTAGCTTCAACACTTGACTAACCTCAACCTTTCTTCGCCCAACAAAACCACGTTTACGCTTCGGGATTCGAAAACCACTGTCATCTAAACTCAAGGAAATGCCATTAAACCCACCGCTATTATCCCTTTTATGACCCAACCCCAACTTTGAGTCCTTTGAATCATGTGAACCTGAACTCAGAACACCATTATACACCTCATCTAAATTGTTTTTGCAATTACCAACATTTTTTAAGCTACTGATGGACACAATTTTGCTACTCTTTTTCCTCTTGTTGCCCTTATCCTCATCAGAATCCTCTGAGCTAATTTTTCTCTTCAACTCCTTATTCTGAGACTCCATTGAAATTCTTGATTTATACAGGGTCTTAAGATCCAATGATCTCGATTTCCTAGGAATTTCCGCTCCATTGGAATTTCCTATTCTATTTTCCATGAACAATTTGTCAATCTAAAAACAAAAAACCAAAACCTCCGGTCTTCATATTCCATTGTACATTTTTCAGATCTGTAATAACAAAACCAAACCAAAAATTACCACTAATATATCTGAAAATACTAAAACACGACTAACCGAACGATCAAACCCAAACTCTCACATACTAGAAACATTTCACAAGAAGAATTGAATTAATTAACTAAAACAGAGAAAATTATGAGCGTACCTGAACCAATATATCACGAATCGATGATTTCTCAAACCAATTATGGAGATCACTGGCACGAAACATGTATTAGGGTACGAATCTGATGGTTTCAAATTGAAACCCTAACAGATTTATCGATTTTCAAAATCAATTTGTTGTTAATTTTGAAAAAATAAAAATTACCGTAAGAGACGGACGAGAGCTAGGGTTTCTTTTGTTTTCACGATAGTAAGGGTTTAGATCGAAAATAACCAAAAAAAAAAAGAAAGTAAAATAAATTCGGAAATAGAAAGAAAATGTGTGTGTCGTTTAGATTAATCTACGTGGCAGCATATTCATCCTTCGATACGGAAGTTGCGGTTGAGATTTTACATGGATAATACAAAGACGTAAGCTTAATAAATGTATATCAAAATTTTAGGAGTAAACGTGGGACATATGAACGGCTAGGATTTATTTTATTGGCACGTGGAGGGCTGAATCTTAAACTTGATTTGGGAGATGTGCGGTAGTTAAGTAGACTCGATTTTGCTAAATCGGTATTTGACAGGGAAAATAAAGAGTTATAGTTAAACTGTTCATTTTTGTATTACTAAATTGACTCCATTTTTATATTAAATGACGGAAATACCCATTAAGCTTTTAAGTTAGCAGGCGCCATTAAGAAATTACAAAGGCAAATCGCAAGAGTGGTTGAGTGAAATAAACGCGCTTTACTGAGATGCAACGTGGACTTAAAAATGCAGAAAATGCCAGTGACGTGAGCTTCAGAGAGCGAGTTAACATATTTGTAAATAAAGGCAGGTGTCTTAGGGAAAAGGCTGTAACCGTATTTTAGTGACGTGGTTAAAACAGGAAGAGTTGATACAAACACTGTGCATTTCAGAAATTGAATTTGAATGCCCAAATGCATGGCTCCACGTTGACGACAATAAACTCGTGATATTTTTTTTTGACATAAAAACTTTCAACAAGAATTGTCATGCAAAGTTTACCAAACAACATTTCAGGAAAATTCGAAGGCCGACCACGCATCGCCCACCTAATACTCTTTTCATTATTTCTTTAGAAAATGGGTAAAAAATTGTGAATCGAATTTTAAATTTATTAGAATCTTTTTTGATAAAAAAAATTAAAATTATTTTGGGTGGCCAAAGNAGAAAGTAAAATAAATTCGGAAATAGAAAGAAAATGTGTGTGTCGTTTAGATTAATCTACGTGGCAGCATATTCATCCTTCGATACGGAAGTTGCGGTTGAGATTTTACATGGATAATACAAAGACGTAAGCTTAATAAATGTATATCAAAATTTTAGGAGTAAACGTGGGACATATGAACGGCTAGGATTTATTTTATTGGCACGTGGAGGGCTGAATCTTAAACTTGATTTGGGAGATGTGCGGTAGTTAAGTAGACTCGATTTTGCTAAATCGGTATTTGACAGGGAAAATAAAGAGTTATAGTTAAACTGTTCATTTTTGTATTACTAAATTGACTCCTTTTTCATATTAAATGACGGAAATACCCATTAAGCTTTTAAGTTAGCAGGCGCCATTAAGAAATTACAAAGGCAAATCGCAAGAGTGGTTGAGTGAAATAAACGCGCTTTACTGAGATGCAACGTGGACTTAAAAATGCAGAAAATGCCAGTGACGTGAGCTTCAGAGAGCGAGTTAACATATTTGTAAATAAAGGCAGGTGTCTTAGGGAAAAAGCTGTAACCGTATTTTAGTGACGTGGTTAAAACAGGAAGAGTTGATACAAACACTGTGCATTTCAGAAATTGAATTTGAATGCCCAAATGCATGGCTCCACGTTGACGACAACGAACTCGTGATATTTTTTTTTGACATAAAAACTTTCAACAAGAATTGTCATGCAAAGTCTACCAAACAACATTTCAGGAAAATTCGAAGGCCGACCACGCATCGCCCACCTAATACTCTTTCATTATTCTTTGGAAAATGGGTAAAAAATTGTGAATCGAATTTTAAATTTATTAGAATATTTTTTGATAAAAAAAATTAAAATTATTTTGGGTGGCCAAAGCTCTTAAGTGACTGGACTAATTTTCGTACACCTCGATTAATCTTCGAGATCTTTAAATTAATAGTTAGATAAACTATCTAGTAATCATCCTTATTAGTAATATCTAAAAGTCCTTATCGTCACATCCGATCAGTCAAGATCCATATACTTCTCTGATGATAAATGTATATGTTTTTCTAAAATTATATTAATTATAAAACGTTGTGTTAATTATAAGATAATATATCTTTTATCATAAGATAATACATCATTAGTCACATTAATTTAGAAATAAAGTTAGCGTCCAAATTTAGATATAAATCTAATCAAGGGCGGATCTAGTCACTTTTTGGGTGGACCCTCAATTTTTATTTTTTAAATATTTATATGTATAATTTATATATTTTAACCCACCATAACAAAAATATTAATGGACAAAAATATTAATGTATAATTAATTTTTACATTGGCCCATTCTAGCAGAAATTTTTGGATCCGCTACTGAATCTAATTGATATGGAAAATGTTATTTACATGATTTATCTAAAAACATGTTTAAAAAGAATGAATCATGATAATAATTTTATTTTAACAATTTTATGCATGTTAAATATCCGTGAACGTGTTACTTTTTGTTAGCATTTGACACCTGTCATACATATGGTTAAACTTTTCAAGTTCATATGATAATATATTTCGTGAAATTAAACAATTAAAATACACCTTTATACCATATTCTTTTGAATTTTAAACCTGAGCCTATTCATGAATATCAACCGACAATGTTCTAGAAAATTCTGGACATTGGACGAAAAAGAGAATATGCAAAGTCTAATGGTCTACTTAAAATTATCCATAAACGACGACACCGTACGTCGTCTTTTAGATTGTCTGTTTCTCCCCACAGGAATTGCCGAGTCCCGACCAGCCCTCAACATTTCACGTCACAGGTTTTCACCTGCTTCACTCGTGTTCTTTCCAAAAAAAAAATTTGTTTCCATCAAATCGTAAGTAACAAACCTCAAAACATCTCCGCATTCTCCTCAAATCACGTTTTAATTTCAACAATATCAAGAGCGATCTAGACGACTGGATCCAGATCTAGGGTTTAACTGTATTGTTAGTGACGACAATTCGATTTCGTCTCTTTAGGGTTTCAGATCTCGCGTCTTGGCTCAATCGATCACAACTTTGAGGTCAATTTAATCACTCTTCAGTTATGATTATCTTTTTGTAATTCTTTAGTCGGTACGAAATAACCAGAGGTATAGGATTTAAAGTTATTATTTATTTATCGTCTTTTGCGCTTTCTTAGCCACCAAACTGAATCCTTGAGATTTCTGTGAAATTTTACAATTGTTGGTAGTATTTTGATAAGGAATCAGATGAAAAGCGAAGGAAATGGTAAAATTGCGGTGTCAATGAAGCAAAATAGTTTCTTATGCTCGATTATAAAATTTTATAATTCTGATTACGATGCCATTTGTAATATTTCTTCAGCAATTAAAAGCGGTACGACCAAGAGGTTTGAGTGTTAGAAATGCCGGTGAAGGTAGCGCAAACTTCGTTTCGGGATCGAACTCAGGAGTTTCAGAGTGTTGCGGAGAGGCTAAGGAAGTCAGTTTCATCTGGATCCGGGCCAAATGGTACAAGCAGCAGTTCAAAATCTGATGAACAGCGATCCTCTGTGGCACTTCAGTCCGAGTTCAACAAGAAGGCTTCTAAGATAGGGTTTGGGATTCACCAGACTTCGCAGAAGCTTTCCAAGCTAGCAAAATGTAAGTAATAGGTTACGCTAATTGTTATATGAGTTTGGTTTATAGTGCTTGCCTTGATTGTCCACATACATATATGGACAAAAATTTAAATATTATAACAATAAAGATGTCTTAGTTCATTTATGATTTATTAATGAGCATGCAACCTCAAATTTTTTGTAGACAACAAATTCAGCATATGGACAATTGATTGATAATGGAATTATTAAATATACTCTTGGTTGGATGGAGTTGCTTCTGTTTTTGCCAATCATAATCTGTATAAGCATAGATTGTGGCTTCACCTCACTTGACTTCTCTTATTGTGTCTATTGGAAGCACATGCATGTTCTATAATATGGAGTCAATTATGTCCATGATGATTCACACCTTAATTTGTAAGGGCTAACAATGGAGTTTTTTCAATTTGGCGACTGAATTTATACCTGTTGCTATTTTAGAGTAGGAAAAAAAGGTTTAGATATTTTGTTTAGTTCATGATAGTGACATTGCCTAATGAGCAGTGCTTGTTTGCTTAGGCTATATAACCTTCTTAATTGTTTGCAATCGCACACTGCTAGGAATTCTTTGTGTGAATTTGCTACTTGGATAATGCTGATGCCAAATCTTTGTGCATGTTATGATCTATCATTGCAATAAGCTAAGCAGATAGAATCTTTTGTTGATTTGTAGTGGCAAAGAGGACTTCAGTTTTTGATGACCCCACCATGGAAATCCAGGAGCTGACAGCTGTTATCAAGCAGGATATTACTGCACTGAACTCTGCAGTGGTAGATCTTCAACTTTTTTGCAACTCCAGGAATGAGGGTGGTATGTCCAGTGACACCACTAGTCATTCAACTACTGTTGTAGATGACCTGAAGAATCGCTTGATGAGTACCACTAAAGAGTTCAAAGAAGTTCTTACCATGCGAACAGAGGTAATCGTGAATGTAGCCCATCATCTTGTTGGCAATCTCATCCCTAACTATTACTTAATAGATCTTTAAATGTCAGGTTATTTTTCCGAAGACTAATGGTATCTTATTGGCTTTGTATAGAATTTGAAGGTTCATGAGAACAGAAGACAATTGTTTTCGTCCTCCGCTTCTAAGGATTCTACAAATCCTTTTGTTAGGCAGCGGCCACTGGCTGCCAGGTCAGCTGCTAGTTCTTCAGCCTCCCCTCCTTCATGGGCTAATGTTTCACCATCTTCTTCTCCGTTGTTTCCCAGGTAATAGCTTGTTTGGTTGTCTCAGTCTGTGGTGGGCGAACTGATTTAAGGTTTTTCATATCACCTTAAAATGAATTTTCAAATGTTGTTCAGCTATTTGGAAGTAGATGTAACCATGATTAATATTGTACTTCAATAGAATGGTTGTCTAATTTTTCTTTTAAAATGCACTGGGATCTGGATTCTGGTCACAACCTGTGCTTTTCTGTTTACTGAAACATTCTTTTTGAGGAAAGACAAAATATTTCTTTTCCTTTGACATGATAGTGAATTTTAGATTTATTTGTATTCTTTGACATGATAGTGAATTTTAGGATTTATTTGTATTCTTTGACATGATAGTGAATTTTAGGATTTATTCGTATTCTTCATACAGCCAACCCCCATTCCTCCCAATTTGTTATGGGGGATTCATATCGTCAGAACTAACTACTTATGTCACCAATGTTTTGATCTTGCTGTTTGCATTTTCTATGGTCATGAAACTTTTCTACTCTTTACTCAGCCTTGTTGGTTATCGCTTTAAGTATTTGCAACCGCTAACCCCATTCCTGGTTTTCAATTTTACCAGGAAGCAGATGGATGGGGAGAGTCAGCCATTGTTGCAGCAACAACCGCACAATCAACAACAACAGCAGCAGCAACAACAGATGGTTCCGTTGCAAGACAGTTACATGCAGAGTAGAGCTGAAGCTCTTCAGAATGTAGAATCAACCATCCATGAACTGGGCAACATCTTCAACCAGTTGGCAACCCTGGTCTCTCAGCAAGGAGAGATTGCTATCAGGTTTTATTTGCTATTCTAGTTATTTTTTTAATCATTCTTTGCATACACCTAGCTCTATATTCTGGCATATTATGTGCCAAATAAATTATAGTTCTATGAAACCAGATTATATTATAGTTATCACATGCATCATTTATTTGACTATTGGTATTCAATTAAATTGGTTTGGAAATCGCTCTTAGAATATACAGCCACTAACAAAATGAATCTAAAGCTAATTTTCTTACCCGTGGAAAAGTTTGATCGAGTAGCTTAACAACGCCAAGAAAAGCTTAGTAAATCTTAGCACAAAGATATGGTTCTCTTGAAATGATGATGAAACCATCTGCATCAACATAAATATTTATCTGCAAGAAATTTTTGTGTAAGAAGATTTGGTTTATTGGTTCAGATTTTCAATGGCAATTTTGTGAGTAGTTGCTGCATAAATTGGAAAGTTATGCAATCTGTTACTTTTTAGTTTGTTATTATTCTCTATTAGAGGAATCAAAGTTTTGCATTAGACAATGCTTACCTATGATAGGAACCCACTCCCAAATTGATAGGAATTGGGTTTGGCAGTAGGCTTTTGATAAGAATTGGGTTGGGCAATGATCCTTTTGTAGGCTTGGGTAGAACTCTTTTTGGAAAATCGGCTTGTCAAGGGAGGGTGCCCAAGCCCTTTATAACCCACATGCCCACCATTTTCCCTTCCAATGTGAGATCCTAACATTCCACCATGTTTCCGCAACCGACGTTCACATCGGCCTCTTTATCCCATAGGTGATTATGCGGATCGTCTTTCCATTGGGTCTCCATGCCCTTTCTCGGGGTAGCAACCCGGGCCCAAGGTCAGCCTGCCTCGTAGGCAATGTCCCATGGACACAGGTCATGTTCTAATACCATTTGATAGGAACTGACTCCAACAACTCAAACCATTGGGCAGAGCAATAGGTCTTTCATGGGCTTGCGTAGAACTCAATTTGGAAAACCGGCTTGCCAAGGGAGGGTGCCGAAGCCCTTATAACCCACATGACCACTCTTTTCCCTTCCAATGTGGGATCTTAACACACCACCACGCTTTCGTAACTGACGTCCACATCGACTTCTTTATCCCTTGGGTGACTATGTGAATTCCCTTTTCCTCGGGCCTCCATGCCCTTTCTCGGGGTAGCAGTCCGGGCTCAATGTCAGCTTGCCATGTAGGTGACGTCCACGTGGGCATAGGATCATGCTCTGAAACCAATTGATAGAAACCTACTCTCAAATTGATAAGAATTTGGCTGGGCAGTGGGCCTTTGATAAGAATTGGGTTGGGCAATGGTCCTTTTGTGGGCTTGGGTAAACTCTCCTTGGAAAACCGGCTTGCCAAAGGTGAGTGCACAAGCCCTTTATAACCCACATGCCCACCTTTTTCTTTTCCAATGTGAGATCCTAACAATCTCGTGGTTTTGAAGATTTATTCAGTGTCATACCATCATTTTGTAGCACCATTGTGTGGGAACCTGCACCCTTGGTCCCATCCAACCAATGCTTTCCTCATATACATATTTTAATTAATAATTTTTAAAAGACTGTTAATTTGAAGATGTTAATTTGAAGATGTTGCATATAGTTTTGCAATCTGTTAAAAGAACTCCAATTTAATGTGTGACTGCTGCATGCTTATGTCTTTGCAGATGGAAATTGTAATAAATGGTTTTTTCTTTTTTTGGAATTTTTGTTGCAGGATTGATGAGAACATGGATGACACCTTGGCAAATGTGGAGGGAGCACAGGGGGCTTTGCTTAAGTACCTCAACGGTATATCATCTAATAGGTGGCTGATGATCAAGATATTCTTTGTATTGATTTTTTTCCTCATGATTTTCCTCTTCTTTGTGGCATAGTATAATTTTTTTTTCTTGTGGTATAACCGTATAAGCAATTTGTTTGCGGAGAGATATGATACTAGTCTTTGCTTTTGTTATGTGTATGTACCGTCGATCGTAAGTGTACATGGTACTGAGAACAGTGAGATCTCTAAAAATTATTTCATTTTCTTTCGGGTGTATTTGGTTTAAAAAATGTTATATTAATAGAAAGATAAATTACTTTGAAGATTATTATAAATATTTAGAAAAAAGAATAATGTTACAGTTACCAAAGAATGCACATCGAATTCATGCATCGAATAACGTGGTGTTATCCGGTTTTCTTTAAAAAAGAAATTCATAATTAATCGACGGTCAGTGACATTTGGTGCATGAATTTGGTGCGCATTTTTCAGTAATTGTATTATTTTCTTTAGAGAAATGTGTTTGGTTGGTTGGAATAAATTAGTGGGTATATTATATTACAATAATGTTAGGGACACCGAAAAACCTGCACCGAAATTTTGTATCGGTTTACGTGTAATACGTTTCTAATTTTTTTAACAATTTTTTTCTAGTGAACGGCTGTCCATCAAATTTGGACGACCGTTCCTTACAAGGGACAGGCGTCCCCATGTAAAGGACGCCCGTCCCTAATTAAAATACAATAAAAAAAAATTTATAAACATTAGGACGGCCGTCCATTACATTTGAACGGGCGTCCATTCATAATGGACGCCCGTCCCTTATGTTTGGACAGTCGTCCATCCCTGATGGACGACCGTCCATACTCTTCCTTTTTTTTTTTTCTTTTTTTTTTTTTTTCTAAAAACTAGCTTTCTCCTAAGTGGCTCTGAAATCAGTCAGGCCGCCTTTAATCCCTATAGAGGATGAACAGAAGAAGCAAGAAGAAGGCTTCTTTGGATCCTTTGCAAAGCTTTTTGTCAACACTGAATCATCTGCTATGGAAATTTTGAGAGGAATATTTCCAGGTTTTAGGAAGAAGCCACTGAACCATCAATATCAAAGCCTATACCAGCACCCTCAACAGCAAAAGTACTCAACTGCTTGGCCTGTACAAGACAGCTTTGTGATCCCAGATGAGGACGAGCCACCTTCCATTGATACAAGAACTCCCACTCCACGAAAAACTTATGCTTTCATGTCCAAGGATGCAGAAAAGATCCAGCAACTGCGGCAAAGTCGAGCTATCTATAATGGATGGGATGGTGATTAAGGCAAAGTCGAGCTAATGATAATAATAATAATAATGTATTCTTGTCTTAATCAGTATTGAGTATGGAGATGTACAGGTCCATATGCATATCTACATGCATTTACTTAAAAGTCTGATTAGTTAAAAGTCATGGGCAGTTATTAGATGATCAGAGAAGAAGAAGAAGAGAAGCGAAAGTATAGAAATTGGGCAGTTTTTTTTTTTTTTTTTCTTAAGTATGGACGCCTGTCCAAACATAAGGGACGGGGGTCCATATACAAGGGACGGGCGTCCCCATGTAAAGGACGCCCGTCCATAAATAAAATACAATAAAAATTTTTATAAACATTTGGGACGCCCGTCCAAAACGTTTGGACGGGCGTCCATTATTTTGATGGACGGCCGTTCACTAGAAAAAAATTATTAAAAAAATTAGAAACGTATTACACGTAGGCCGGTATAAAATTTCGGTGCAAGTTTTTCGGTGTCCCTAGCATTATTGATTATATTAATATGTTTGGTTGAAAGTAATAGATTGGTGGATATGTTATATAAATTACTAAATTATCTTTCTTTTTAAATATTAATATAATATTATTTTTCTTATTATTGTTTAATCCCTTATATTTCAGATTTAGCTAAAACATCCCAGCAACAAAAAGGTTTAAAACTTAACAAAAATACTCCCATCCACCCTAAGCTATTGTCAGCAGTTGGCAACCATTGTCGGTGGCGGCGATAGTGGAGGTAAAGGCCATCGTTTCACAACCAAATATCTGACCTTTTCACAACCAGATCTGTGGTTGTTTCACAGCTAAATCTGTGGCCATTTCACAGTCAGATCTATGACCATTCGTGAAACAGTCAGATTTTGGCTGTTTCCCACCATGGATCACATCCATGGTTGGAAACGACCTTAGTGGTGCATGGACGGTTAGATCCGGCCGGCCGTGCACCATTTTGTCCTAAAAACTTTGTATATAAGGATAAAATTCTCCATTAGTATTTTTGTAAATTATTTTTAAAACACGGCCATTATTATCCTAAAATTTTATTAATAAGGGGTAAAATTATATCAAGAATAAGATTACTAAATAATCTTAAAATACCTAAAAAAATGGAGGTTTTGTAATATAAGATGACATTATTTCAGTAATTCTCTATTACCCCTAACCAAGGGACTCTACTTTTGGTGAGACTGTGATATATTCTTTATCTAGAGTTTCTCCTTACAGTCAGTCTACATTATTTCTTTATTCGAAATTGATTTTTAAAGTGATGCGATTTCTATGTGAATTTTCCTCAATAGAGAGGAGTTATTGATGAGAACAGGTGGAGAAGATAGTCTGTATTTAGGGCTGTCAGACTAGTTGAGTAGCTCACGAGTCGGCTCGTCTTGACTCGTTTGAAGCTCGTTAAGAGCTCGACTTGACATTGGTTGAGTCAACTCGACTCAAACTCGAGTTGTAACTCGAGTCAAGTTTGATCATGGGGGGTCTCGTATAAGAAGGGTATTTTTTATAAGTTTTATAAACCTTGAGGGACTGAATGGTTATATTGCAGTATAAAAAATTAAAAAAATATAAATATATTTACCCCTCTAAGTGCAAAATAGTAAAAAGCCGATCTAAACACAAAACACCCCTAATTCAATTTCCCCCAAATCGACCAAACCCTAACCATATACCCAATTTCAGAATTCACAAGTCCTAAATCCTCAAATCATAAATCACGAATCCATCCCTGTGTTTGTTGTCGACGATCACCCATCCCCTGTTCTTGCCATCGCCGATCGATTGACGTTGTGGTCTTGTGGAAGAATCGCGACTTCACCCCCAAATCGTGAAACCACTTCTTCTCCTCCAAATCGAGCACAAATTAGCAGCAATAAGTCAGTAAGTATCGATTCCAAACTCACAAATGATGGAATGATTTCGTTAAAGTTCATTAACATGCTTGAAAACTGTGGTCTATAGGGTCCGAAATCTGAATTTGTTAAGGTTTATTTGCACTTGCACACAGTTTAGGCTGAAAAATGTATGGTCTGCAGGGTCCAATCTCTGCTTGAATACTTGTTTGTGAAAAATTGATGATGAAAATTGTATGGTTTGTGTGTGTTGCATACGGACAGACCACTATTTGCAGTTTTGCACATGGTTTGCGCCACTATTTGCACACTGACAGGCCACTATGTTAATGAATCTTCAGTTTGCACATTATGAAAAATGTATGGTTTGTGTGTGTTGATGGATTATGGAGTTTGTGGGTTTCGTTAATGATGGATTCTTATTTTTGAATTATAAGTATGGCCTTTGAAGGCAATTCCTCAAGCACCTCGACATTGGATGATGTCGACGATATAGTTATAATCAGAGTAGTTAATCGTCGTAACATTCATGGAAGCACAACCACTACCCATACGGAATAAAATATCAGTAGCCCCGAAAATGTAGTGGACAATAACAATCCACTTCACATGAAGAAGAGAGACAAGACATCAGCGGTGTGGACAAAATTTAGGGAGGTAGTTGTCCCTGGTGGTATAAAGAAGGCAGAGTGCATCCACTGTAAAACCAAACTGAAAATGACTGACACGGGAAGTACTACCCAATTTAATAGACATTTGAAGAGGTGTGCGAAGAGATCAGCTTTCTTGAGGCAATAACAAATAAATTTTCCCCCTTCCAGTTCTCAGGGTACATCTATTATCTTGTCTACTCTACGAGACTAGTTCGATATGCTTAAGATGAGGGAACTTATTGTCCATTGGGTGCTGATGCATAAGCATCCGTTCACTGTTGTGGAAGAATAGGGATTGAATAATATGATGAAGTATGGGATACCTAAGTGGAGTATTATTTCGTGTAACACTTGCAAGAATGACTATGTGAAAGTGTATGAAAATGAAAAGCAGAAGTTGAAAACGGTACTGAAGTGTGTGAGAAACCACAGATCTACAGAATTCAGGCAATCAAAGGATGGAATACATAGTGTTGACTGGGTATTGGATTGATGATAATTGAAAGTTGAATAGACGGGTCCTAAATTTCGTTCATTTGCTTCCTCCCCGTACTGGTGTTGCCATTTCTGATGTCATTTTCAAGTGCTTAATGGAGTGGGGAATTGAAACTAAGGTACACACAATCTTAGTGGACAATGCCTCAAGCAATGATGTTGCAATCAAGGTATTGAAGGAAAATTTCCAAGCTACGGGGAAGCTCATATGTGGGGGCAAGTTGTTTCATGTGAGATGTTGTGCACACATCTTGAACTTGGTTGTTCAAGATGACCTTTATCAAATTAGACACATTATTGAGACATCCGTGATAGCCTGTTATATATCAATGCCTTTTTTCAGAGATTGTTTAGCAGCTGCGATTGTCGTCTGGCAAACTTATCCTTGATTGGAAAACAAGGTAGAATTCAACATATGATATGCCAACAACGACAATGAAGTTCAAATGTGTTTTTCCTAGACTGAAGGAGATGGATATGAGTTATCATTATTGTCCTAAGGAGGATGATTGGGACAAAGTAGAGAAACATTGTGATATTTTAAAGGTGTTTAGTGGTGTGACCAATCTCATATCAAGGAGTGATTATCCAACATCAAACTTGTTTCTAAAACAAGTTTGTATAATCAAAATGATGTCGAATTGTAAGAGTGAAGATGAAGATGAATTTATAAGGGTCGTGGTTTGGAAAATGAAAGAAAAGTTTGACAAATATTGGGGGGGAATGTAATCTGTTGATGTCTATGGCTTTTGTATTGGACCCTAGACTGAAGAAGAGGGTTATTCAGTGGTCGTTCCCTAAGATG